TGTTCCTCCACTTCTGAATTTTTACTTGTTTTCCTTCAACACGCGTGGATTGAAAGCAAGCGATGGCTAATGATTGCCTGCGACATTAAAATCAAGAAGAACGTAGCTTCGACAAAGCAGAAAACTGCTGGACTCAAGGGGAAATATTCTTGACTGAAAATTCAAGTCATTTATATTCCCGTCAGTATGAAGTTTCTGAGAGCGCCGGTAATATTGAGTATATCTGCGGAATGATTTAGCGGCGTAGATTTAAGTGGTGGTCGCAGAGTGGCGGCGAGAAACCATGGAAATGCTGGGCTCAGTTTCAAGTTACTGGACTGCGACTGCTGCTTCGAATCGAGATCCAGGTCCAGCAGGAGTCGCCAAGACGAACCAACTTTCCAATTCTCTTCATTAGCTCTTTCCCACCGCGCGCCGCCGAGCCGCGCCACCTCCGCCGCACAGTGGGAAAAATTAGGTCATCGGACGCACAAAAAACTGTAACGTGATTTTGACCTTCATTTTCGGCCCCAAAATGGCGGCAAAATCCCCAAGCCCTGCATCCTGCATCTCTCTCCATGATTTTAATTATGAAATATGTAATTTTATATTGTAATGTACATATAATATGTATAAATAATTTTTAATTTCGCAAGTGTGGGAGCGGTTCCTACGTAATTTTACTCGTAGGACTCATATTGTTAGTCAAATACTAATTAACAACTACACGATGGGCCTTCTACATATACGAAATGAAAATTACCTACAAAATCGACCTGTTTTCTTCGAAACGAATGACTCAAAAATTTGTATTGTTGAAAATCTTGATACCTACACCACTTTGGCACGGCTTAGAAAAAGAGTGTCCCGACTCAATTTGTGGCCCACTAATAAATTTTCGTCGTTAAAACTTCACTGCATTTTTGATTTTAGTCGAAAAATTGTTATAAAATCGATACCCTTCAAGACCACACGAGGGAATTGAAAGACTTAGAACCAAAAATGAGCACTGCCAGGCCATATTTGGGATATTTATGGGGACTGGACAACCTGCGACTCTTCGTGCCTAGTAGATATCTTGTTGCCTAGTATAGGTAAGCGAGGAATTAAAATCGCTCTGCCATTTTGGATCCTCGCGGTAAGTAATTAAGCCCGCCGCAGTTGGCGCTGCGGCGCGGGCCTCGGGTGAAGTAGAGAGGGCCTGGACAGCCAGAACGCCTTCACTTCCGTGCGTATGCAACACGGACAACCTTAAAGCCAGAATAGTTGCATTCAGGCGTTGAGACGAAAGTAAACTGTTCGTCGCATTAAACACAGAGGGCGTTTGCTTGTTTCTCTAACATGAGACTTAGTTCCGTTGCCTGTTGTGCCGATGAAGTACTTATTACTGACGTTTATCGCGACAGGCGACACTGTCAATTTTCTGAAAAACGATCGAATTTTTTAAAGTATAACAACTTTGACATCGTAAAATGTGGAGGGCGGGGCCTACCGCCCCTGATCTAGAACCAACAAATGTGACATAGTCAATGTCATGATCACTTCAGAAAAAATTCGAGCGCGTATTTTCGTACTTGTACTTTTTTACCGCTAAGGAGTCAGAAAAAAGTCCAGACAGAAGTGTATATCAACCTACAGTTAATTCAGAGCCCAGTGCGGCAGGACCCAAAGCATGTAGAACATATGGATTACATTCTGCTATAAAGAACCACTATTTCTGACTCATTTTAGAAACAACATATATCGACGGTGAAAGTCGGCAATCACATAACATGTTTGCGGTGTCTGAAAATCTCCGCCTCTACGTCATTTTTTTAAAGGAGAGCAAATATTGACATTATTTCTTGAAGTTTTTGCAGAATTTTCTTCGCATTGAGAAGAAAAATCATGACAGTTTTAAAGAATTGCCGTTGAGTAGTTTTCCATTTAAAAAATAAAGTATGACAGGAAGTCTGCGACGTCGCAAACCGAGTTATGTGATTGCCGACTTGCACCGTCGATATGCCATTGGTTTCCTTGAGCAGAAAGGTGCTTTTATGGAAGAGCTAGAGATAGTGGGTTCCTTATTGCAGAATGTAAGCCATAATGTCTCATGCTATTGATTGCTTCAGTGTCATTGAATTGGAGCACAAGTATGAACTGAGGTCATTATTAAAAAAAAAAAAAAAAAATCAATGATGATTAGTATTTAAAGGAAGCCGGCCTGAAGTTCTCCCATAAAATCTTAGGTAAGGCGTTGGAAGTTAGAAGGTGTTAGTTGTTCCTCCAATTTCTCTTCACTTGGATTTGAGTTTTCAAATAATCCTCACAAAAAAAAGCCAAATAAATTTTAAAAAAAATAAAAAATAAATAAATAAAAAAAAGAGATAAATTTTGTGCAACCAATCCTGAGAAGTCCCTCCCTGGAAAATATGAACCACTTAGGTATTGAGGCACACCGAACAGTTTTTCATGACACCAAGTGTCTTATTTCAGGTTAAAAAACTAAACTTCCAGGTCTAACTGTTTGGTGTTTTGGAGAAAAAAGGGTCATGTATACCCATCAATCTCTTCAGGAAAATCTGGAGAATTGATTTCTGAAATCTCCGCCGAAGAGATTTATCCTTGACTCCCAGATATTTTCGATAAAAAATGAACCCTGTGTTATTTTCTTTAGGGGCCCCCGGAAGAGGATTCTAGGCAGATCAGTCAATCAGAGACAACTTGTAAAAGTAGGCGGTGCCACTTAGCCTGCAATTCAAATTGCTGCTCCTGTTTTCTCTTTGAACATCACTCAAGAGTGCATTGGTGACCCCTTTTCATCTCCCATTTTGCAACGTGGGAAAACGGCTTTCGTCTCTCCTTGCTATTCGGTCCATCGAGCTGACAATAAGTATTTACTTAAAGAGACTAAATCCAGCCTGTGATCACTCAGATCAACATTTTGATTTGATGAGCTGAATAGTGGGAGCAGCTAATGCACACTCTGAACCATGATTCATTAATTCTCCGTCATAGACCTATTATTCTTATCATGCTTGAGGTTTTTCTCAAAAAGGCGATCAGACCGCAAGTCACATCAGCCATTCCCAATTTTCAATGAGCGATTTATTTCTTAACTTTTGAAAATTTCAGGAGTGGTAACACAGTAAATTCACTTGTATTTCCCGTTGGTGCAGGTCATAGAAATTTAAAGTACAAGACAGCATATGCATTGTGCGTTCTTTAAAAAATGAGGGAAGATAAACTCTTCTTAGACAATCACTAAAATCTTCATTTTGTCGCCTGGCTGACAACATAATGGGATGATCCTAGAGAAATATTATGTTGTATAGACAGCAGGGTTCACTGCAGAGTGTGTTTATACGTCTTTATGTAAGGAGGGCAAAGATTTAAGGGTGTGCACTTGTTTGAGGAGTTATTAAGATTTAAATTAGCAATATCAAAGTAACACCCTCCTGGAGATTTTCCTCATTTTCCTTGTCAGTAATGACATTTAAAGATGCTCCTACAGGCCAATTATCGAAAAGTTGCGGCAACACAATAAGACATTAAAATATGTGTATTGCAGGATTACTTAGAATATGGCTACGGCTACGTCTTGTCGTGTCGATAAAGTTCCAATAATTGAGCTGCGGAGACGATAAACAAACACGCAGTTCAAGCTCTGACAAAAGCATTTTTAAACCACAAACATGGGGGGGAAAATTTGTATCAAGACACACTGAGCGTAAATTATTTACTATGTATAAAAGTTGAGGAATACCGGATTTACTAAAACTTCTGAATAAGATAAAACCACCAAGTGGCTATTTTGCAAACCAGGAGGATGAGCAATTGTAGCCAAATTAATTTCAATTATGTTTTTAGAAATTATTATAATTAGTATTATCTCTGTGGGTCAAAAAAGAGAGGCTCTGACCTAGATAAATTCCTTCATTTTGAGGAGCAAAATTCAGAGGGCACTATCAAAATGGGATACAATGGGAAACATCTTTAGCCCATTTTTTTTGTTGTCTCCCAAAATCGTTTCAGACATTTGTCAAGCACCGGCAGTCCATCTCGTCTAGAATTGTGCCTACCTAACCTACTCCTTTTCTTAAATTGGGATAATCGTACAGATAGTTGATAAAAAATCTCCGAGACACTGAAAATGCGCGACAGAATGTGATTGGGTTAATGGATGGAGGCCATTGATGTAAAATGCTAAAAGATGAGGAATTTTCATTCCTGATCCGACGTGCTTCAAGACATAATTCAACTGCAGATTGCAATGTTGAGGAGAAATAATATAGGATGCTCCTGTTAAAAAGTGACAGATCTTAAAAAACGACAAAGGAGCTAAAAGGTAAACATAGGAAAAACCATGTACTTCATAGTACTTATAGGAAAGCGCACTTGGCGAGACTAAAACTGAGGGTTGGGGTCAGATGAAGGCATTTGATGAGGCAAAAGTAAACAAGCCAGGAAAAATAAATGAAACCCTCCCTGCTGATAAAACCTTAAAACAGATAAATCAAACACAATGAGCAATGAATGTGATAACAAGATCATAGTTATGGGATGGCAAAAAATAATCCCACACATAAGGGGCTTTAGCACGCAATGTCCAGTGAAAAATACTTGCACCACATAAAATTCTGAGGAAAAGTCAATGAAAATAAACGAGGGCAAGTTGTGGAACACACTGTGTCACCCCAGAGAAGCAGGTTTCATGATCAGGAAACTGGTTGGCTGTTTATTTCTCAGGACGATGAACCCATGACCAAGGTTAGTGTCAGACAGAATCAGTTTGATACTAACCCACTCCCCTCACTAGGTTATCTGCTCTCGTAATCGAATAATACGGAGCGAGGTGAGGATTGGTGAGCCGAATTTAACATCAGACGGAGCAAAAACAATATCAAACGTGGAATATTTGCGAAGTATTCAAGCAATTAAGTGAATCTCTATAAGTGGCACAGGGCGAATTCTTACGTGCACCAGTTTATCAGCTAATGACCTATTTAGCACACCCGTAACGAAAGGGTGGAAAAACCTACCGTGTAATGGCGAAACAAGAAAATCAAGTCCAATTACAGAAGCTACAAAATTTCAATCCGAGGCCAGCGTAAACTGCGAACAGTAATCCTTCTCTAAAGCGCACCAAATTCGCGAAACTCGAGGTTGTAGAGATAAGAGCTACCCGAAATTGATAACCTATCCCGCGAGGCGTTCCGGGTCCCCGGGATGAACACAAATTTAGACGGATGAGGCGGAAATTCAAGGGAAAATTCACACCACGAAAATCACGAAAACTTTCCGAACTTTGCACGCATTGAACTGGCCAGAACTTGTCTGCGGTTTGGGTGGCTGAGTAAATATTTCGTTTATGTATCGGTCGATTGGGAGGAAGGGTTCCAACCCATGGCGAAGGGTTCTCGTTTCGTCACCAATACCGGCTTGAAATCAAATAAATTGACAAAAATTTACTGAGTTAACTCACCGAGCTTGGAAAGTGGACGTTATGATATCATAACACAATCCGAAACATTGAAATTACAGGTACTAACACACAGGGAACACGTAGTAAACCCTCAATGGGGAGCTAGTAAGTAAATCCACAGGATCAATGGCAGTCGGCCATGCCATGATTAGAAGTTAGAAGAGCCCAACTGCGGCGGGCATGCCCAGTGGTGCCGGATAAAAAAAATAGCCAGAGCAGTAAGAAGTCCTTATTGGAAAAAAATCCCTTCAGTTTATCACCGCATAGTGCTTACAGCGATAGTTATAAGGACATAATTTCTATTAATTTATAACCTCTTTTCTTCCTTTGGCTCCTTCCTCCTCTTTATTTCACCTTTAGACGTAGGGTACAGCTGTTATAACGCGCAGTATATGTTTTTGCCTGGACGTCAAATTGAAGGCGAAAACTAACTCTCGTACTGGGGTCGCAGATTTTAGTGTCAGCAAACGTATTATCACGTTGGGCTTAATTTATTCCGCAAGCAGCAAAGTGCGACCAAAATATTCGAGTAATTTCAGTGCGATGAAATGCAATTTTTTTTATCGTTGCGATTTTTCCAAAAAATTTCAGAATTTCACATCATTTAGCCCCTGAATGTCAATTTTTAACGATCAACAAAAAGAGTTCGCCACGTAACAGGGAGGTGGGCAATTCGCAATACAAGAAAAAATTGCAACTTGTTTAAATTATATTTCAGTAAATTTCAATAGTCAAAATCCCTTCACGTTGAGTACGAATAGAACGCACGACACCTCGATACACTCACGATAATTTTGTCCTGCAAGTACTTACTTGCAATTTATTGCAACTTTTATTACTCCAGAGAGTAGTTTTGGAAAGCATCCTTAATGGGACCTATAACGTGGCGAAGTAGTCGCATACCTTCGTTGGGGAGAGGGGGGAGGCCGCATGCCCGGTGCCCGCACGTTTCAGAAAAAATTGTTTCCCGGATACTTAATCTGATTTTTTGAAACTCGATTTAAGGCACCTGCCTGCGATTCGTAAAAATCGTATCCGCGAATTTTAGCGGGTGATTTCCAGCGCAATTGCCAGAGTTACACGCAGAGTTTCGACGGTGTAACTCCTAAACCACGTATCCAAGTAGCAAAGTAAAATTTTTTTTAGAAAAAAAAAATATTAAGAAAATTTCTAGAGAAAACAAAGAAAATGAGAGTTATCCAGAAAATAGAAAGAAAAAACATTGCGAGTCAAAAGTCTGACCAAAGAAAATAGATCTTTTTCATAGGTCTACTTTCTGTCAACCTCCCGTATAGAAAAAAGATAGAAAATTTATTGAAAGTAGAATTATTTTCTAGCCAATTTCTTGATGTTTTCTTTTCAGAAAATGCAAGGAAAAAAGTGTATTTTCTAATGTCTATTTTCTAGATCTACTTTATAGCTATTTTCTTTCAAGAAAATTGTTCTATCTGATTTGATGCTTCTTCGTTTCTGGCCATACTACATACAGCTGATCAATGACTGTTTCTTGATCTAGACGTTCAAAAATCGCCTTCAATTACTGTTGCTGCAATTTCAACTACGGCGGCTGAGACGCGACTAACGCGACTGGGCGCCTGGCCTGGCGCCGCGACGCAGCCATGAATACGTGGGGAGAGATGGGTGGCTTCAGAATGTAATATTTTTCCACAATAGAGCGAAGCTACATACAGGCGAGCAGCGCCTTGTATCTTCATTCCGGTTGTCTTACTTCAGTCGCATTCTAGTGTTCAAAAAAAGAAATGACAACAGTGGTCCCCCCTCCCCCCAGATTCCCCTAAATTTTCCTCATGAACCTTCAGATATCGTTAAAATTTTGAGACCACAATAATAATTCCCTGACTTCGCTGTTGAATTTATTTCATTTATTTACTGAAAGGGTGCTTAAATGTTTGAAAAGTTTATATCTGGTTGGTTAAAGGGCAGTGATGGGAAATTCATGAAATAATTATCCGTTGAAATCGGGGTTACCTTTCAAAAGTTTGAAAAATGTACAAAAGCACTGACCCAACTGGAGTATTAAGGTCCATCTGATCCAAATCTAAAATCAAAAACTTATCAGAATGTTAGAAATCACTTAAAATCGTTGAAATTTCAATTTTCAGGCGCACCATAACCACTGGAAGCGTAGTTTTTATGAAATATACTTGGCTTCTGAAAGTTTTAAAATGGAGGTCTAAAAGAATGACTTTCACTGAAAATACCAAAGTGTAAGGTGTGTGTACGGATAGCCCGTAATGGGTAAAATAACAAGAGATACCATACATTTCTTTGAATTGAGCTGGAAAAGACACAAGCTGCGTTGGCCAAAAGATGGGTAATTGGGTGCCCCTTATTTTGCTAGATCGGGTTGATGCCTTCCTTGTCTACATAAACGGGTACATATAACTTGACACCTCAAATGGAAGTGTGATAATTTTGTAGATAAAGAGAGGATCAGTCAGCCAATGGAATGAAATTTTCGTTTTCCTCAATTATTTTCAGGAAGATACCCATACCCAATGCATTCAGAAATAGTCTAAAATTGTAAGGAGGTCTGATTGAAGAGAACATTCTCTCTTCTTCCCTACAGGATCTGATGGCATTAAATGCTTGAATATGTTTTCCCATAGGTACTTGAGTAAACTGCAGAGGAAATCAAGCCTTTTCTGATAAGAATCTGTTTTGTTTTTTTCAAAAATAAGAAGAGGGGGAAATATTACTGGAAAATATATAAATATATTACACAAGTCCAAACTTTACAATAACAAGTGATATAAATAATTAGCTCTTTGTGTATGTAAACCAGAATAGGTACATATGACTTCATACCTTTGAAACTGATAAAATGGCTTTAATACCACTTAGCAATAGACTGATTTAGCGCCTACATCATTCGATATTATATCGGACTCTTAGTTCAAAACAAAGCAAACTATCATAACCTCATGTGCGAATTCTTCATGAGTTAATTTTGTGCACATAATTTTGATATTACATATCAATAATTATTTATAATAAGCAAGAATGCTTATTATCCGCTAGAATTACTTTTAAAACTCATTTATATTTAATAACAAGTCAATAGATACTAAGAATCATAGTAGTAGTAGTAGTGACATATTTGTATTGTTAATATAACAATAAACTAATAAAAAAAAAAAGTTAATTTTGTTAATTTATTAAAATTTAGTCATTGACCGGTCATAGATCTATTGAAGATTCATTAAACACGAGAAATTTTGATTCTAAGAAACACTTGGACGTATTATACCACCATTGCGCGAAGGGCGCGAATCAGGAAGAAGGTTCTGTGTTTGTTTACATTTGAACCAAGGATTCGATATTATATCAAATGACATAGCCACTAAATCAGTCTATTACAATCTCATAAAATTTACCATCTGCAAGCTGATTACTAAAATGTTGCCAAAATGGATGGGGTACATTGAGGCCTAACTGAAGTAAAGTTTTGGCTAATTGTATTGACAGATTTCTTTACCAGGATTTTATCAGATTGAATAATAATTTAGGTTATGAAACCAAACAGTCACATAGCTTCATCAAGTTTATACTTATCAATGGCTGAAGTCGAAAAAAGAGCATCTCAGATTGCGTCATTGTAAATCTCCACTTCAGTTTTACTTTGTAAAAAGAAGACTGGCCAAAAGTTTTTATTGTAATATTCCTCATAACATGAGAAAAAATCATTCAAAATAGAAGGAAAGTGATCAGATTTCTTGAGGAATATAAAAAATTGCAATTGAATTAAGCGTTTTTCCCTTTCAGCCATTGATATTCTGTTAACCAAACAAAGACCAATTTCAGTACTAGGTCAGTGGTGCAAAGTAAAGATACACCTGACATTTGGGAACGCATGGACACATAATTTCTGTGAAATGAATAGGATGGGACAGATGAGTAGATAATTACACACGTTGTAATACACATCTTGAATGTCTGAAATTGGGGGAGGACAAAAAAGTCAAATTTAAAAAGGTCATTCTACAGTATCATAGTAGTTGATTCAAACAAATACATTACTTCATCAAAATTTTAATACACTAAGTTATAAATAAATTCACTTGTGTTCTTAGATCTACTTGATACAATGTACAATGAAAATTGCAGAGCTCTTGGCGAGATCCCATTGAGATCTAATACTAGGGAAAAGGATAGCATACCCGCAAAAATTTCCTACTCTTACTCTTACTCTTTGGCAAAGTATATGCTTCTTCTACAGCTTTTCATGATTACTAATTATACGAATGAGAGGGGTTTTCTCTTGATTTCCTTCTTCATAGAGAAAAAAAAGCCTTCAATGTGACTGAAAAGACTGAAAAAACTTGATGCAATAAGATATCTTCAAAGATAGTATTAAAAGGATTAGCTGCAGGATTAATGGGGACTGAAGGGAAACTTTCTTAGTTTGAATTTACTTTTCCAGCAGCTTTCATAAAGAAAGTTAACCATGTGTAAAAAACTTGAGTTTGGAATAGTGTCAATGAGATATTTAGTCAAAGTTGGAGATGATGTTGACACTACAGGTAATTGATTGTAACTGACAAAAGGGCCCTTGAAATGTTTCATGTTTCACAGCATCAATTAATCTAAAAGACATACACCAAAAAGTAAAAAGAGCTGGACTATGAAGAATTTAACTAAGGGCAATGTATCTCACATGACTTGATTCAAGAGGAAATTAAATTTTTTATAGGAATGAGAATAGGCAGTTTTTCGATCAATTAAGTTCTATACAGATTCGAGGCATGAACACTTCTATTAAGTCCTGAAACCACATGTGGGAGAATACGAATAGGTACATATTTACAAGAATGTACAGGAATTAAATTAATCAACCATCTGTTATACACTTGACAGGGATATGAAAGTAATTTTTAACTTGAGACAGACTTTTAATTTTCGTCATCAGCTAAAAACTCACAAGTGTATTAGTCGTATTTTAAGGGAGAAATAATAATCCTAAATTAATTGGTTCTTCAGTTTGATTTTTTATAATTGACAAGTGACATCATGACTGAAAAAACGTAAAGCCATACAAACATTTTTTGAACTCCTTTCTTTCAAAGAATTTTGAGACAAAAACATTACTTTGAATAATGGAGAGCGCCTAAGTAAAATATTTCAGTGAGAGAAAAAGAAATGTAAAAAAAAAGGTGTAAGAGCGACAAATAATGATGACATTGTATTCTTCAATGGATTAATGTGACGGAAATAAATACGAGAGGTCATAAAAAAAGGAGGACTGCAACCCTTTCGAGTTAAATACCTTCAGAATATCATAAATTTTTACTATTTTGAAATAAATTTAGTTGACAAGAGGAGCAATTTCAACTTATGACCTGAAAAAATGTGTCTTGTTCAGAAAAAAATGAGATGACTTATATGGTTTCGGTACTTCACCGTACAAAAAAGTTTGGTTTTTTAATATGTTTAATCAAACATTTTGATTAGCAATCTTTTCATCCCACTCAGAAAATTATTTTATGAAGTCCCAGAATCTTAGGTTTCACCAACCATATGAGAACTGAAACACACAAGAAAGACGGGTTGAGCTTTAATTGACAATAAAAACACAACTAGTAAAAATATGGTAAGTTGAAGCCTAAACTTTGAGACTAAGTGTCCCCTGACGGTCGTCTTTCAAAACTCCTGCTTCGATATTTATTCTAAGAAGGGAAACAAGTTATCTTAAGTTCTAAAAATGTTCACTGAATTTTCTTCAAACAGGGCAAAATTGTACAAAAATTCTTAAGACATTTCAGGGGTCAGATTTCAAATTGAAAAATAAAGTAAGATGAGAGGTCTGCAATGTCATCAACTAAGCCGTATGGCTCCCAAATTTTGCCGTTAATATGCATAACGACAGTGGAAAAATGATTGAGGCTCATGGATCAAATGGACAGCATTTAGCAACAGGTAATCAAGTGTTAGGAGCACTTATCTAAATAGGGGAAATCATCAGCAAATGAAAGAGCCACCCAAAAAGTGTGTTCTGTTACATTATAAATCTTACAAACTAGGGAAGATGAAACAATTCTTTATAAAGGTACATATGTATTAGACATACTCTCGACTTAAAGAGAAGCTCAAGATTTTAAAAATCTCTTGACAGGTGCACAAGAAAAACTTAACTTCACTGAGACTACCTTGGGCATGTTTTGAAGCTAAGATTATGTCTAATATGCAACTTTTTATTTAATTATCTTTTTCAGTACCAAAGATGTAGAATAGCAGAACTTATATTTTGGATTACCCTTGTAATTAATTCAGCTCTAAGCCACACGAAAAAGGTTGATTCCTTTTTTATACAATTTAATGCTAATTTAGTTTATGCTGAAGTTGATAGTTTTGAAAGTGTATTCTTTGAAGAAGCTTCCAAAAGCAGTGTTCAAACTCAGCTGAATATTTCTTTGATGACTGTGATATGAACTATAAACCATACGTCTTTAGACTATTTTTCTTTTCAAATGGGATTGAGTTAAAGATGGATAGTTACTTTATTATTACCCTATGTGGGTTTTGGGGGGGGGGGGGATTCAGTAGAAAAGTTTGAAAACTCAATGCTTTTCCTTTTTCATGAAAAGCATCATCACTCTTCATGTGAAATGAAACAAAATGGCAGTTGTCCAGATTCGTCAGTCAAAGTCATACATTCAGCAGTGATAAAGTGTAGCAAAAAAATATTTTAATGACAGCTCTTGTAACGACCTTAGAACATGGCACCATTTGTTATATTTCAATATTCCACTACCAGTTTTAAAATATTGGAAGCGTCTGCTTTGCGTGTACAATAGACGGAGAGATTCAAAAGTTTCCAACACTTCATAATTGTTAAATAAAGATCAATGTAATGACTGGTATGGTGATTTCAGAAAAGGATGTAGAAGGACACTTACAATTATTTATCAAGTTCTAAAGCAGCAAACTGTTCTTCGTCTACCTCCGTCATCATTAAGTTCCCATCAGGTAGCATTAGAACCACTTTTCTTAGACCACCTGTAAAAACACAAGACATAATAATTTTAGGATTTAACTAAAATTCCAGTTAAGTCACTTTTATGACTACAAATAGTACGCATTGGAAGAAACGGTTCCAAGAGGTCTCATAATTATGTAAACTAAGCTACCATTACACAGCTATATTTTTGTTGTTTATTCTAGATTTTTCAGCAATGATAGATGTAAATGCATCAAAAATTTGTAATTTAGTGTTTTAGTGTTTTTAGTGTTTCACTTCTGTAGATATGGATGCACTGATTATGATTTAGCAAATTGCTCATAATTTGTAGGTACTTAATATTTATTTGACTCATTTTCATGAAATGAGTAAAATTTGTGCTTTTCAACGTAGTTGGGCAATTGCCATGTTTAATTAAAAAAATTAGGTAAAAAACTGCCCTGTCTGTGAATTGGGCAAAAAACGGTCCAGTTTATAAATTGAGTAAAAAACTGCCCAGTTTATGCTTTGGGCAGTTACATGATTTGGGTGTCACAATTATACTTGTGGATGATACAGCTTGGATATTTGTTAAAATAGTTAGTTCTTTGCTCTAAAAAGGGAATCTTGTAATGAAAAGGGGGCAGAGGTTACACCATCTTTTACAGATTCTTCATTCAAACTGAACGTCAATATTTGCAGATGTTTTGGTTTCCTTGCTTGAGATAGAGTTCTCTAAAAAATTCAAAGGGAAAATATGCAAGTTTCCCAAACGTCTGCATTTTATCGGACGAAATTTGGCAAAATTCCAAGGCTCTTACACTTTTTGCCTTGAAACGGCAATTTTGCTCCGCTTGCTTTGGCAAACTTATAGTGACAGGGAGCCACAGCCTATTTTTTTCAAAATTTAATTTCAGCAAGCCTGCATTGATAATGCTTGGTAAAAAAAGGACTGTTAATCCAAATGTATGTCACGGAACAGTGCAAAACAATTTACATCAGGAACATCATTTTCAGAAAAAAAAAACATTTTTGTAGAGTTGGGCCGAAATGGAATTTTCGCGTCACCGGAACCGGATCCGGATATCGGTTTTTTGTATCCGGCCGGATCCGGATACCGGATAATTCAAAAAAGTATCCGGCCGGATCCGGATAGTGCTTTTTCGCGCGAAAAATGTCGCGATTTTTGAGGTTAAGTTTACTCGACTCACGATCGGTCGTAGCTAACAAAATTCGGGCCTTGAATTTCTTTCCTTATTTCTAGTGTCACAATTGCAATAGTACAAAAATCATGGTTGACAAATAATATGTGTCATAAATATAGCAAGGCAGTCTCTAGCTTTTCGCAGCTGTGCTCATATGTTCAGCAGGAGGGTGTTATCAGAAGTCAGAAATGTAAACAAAACAAAAGAGGAAAACAGCGCTGCCAATCTGACACTTTTGAAAGCACCGCCGCCGCATGCCAATCCAAAGTCACAGCAAATCAAAGCCTGTCTTGACGGAAAATTATTCGGTCGATTTCTGTTGATGAGAATCTCTAAATGAACGAGAGAAATGGATGTTTCAACCGATCACAAACTTAATTGGCCTTCGTTTCGATATCCGGGTCCAAAAACCGGACAGCGCGATTATCCGGCCGGATCCGGATACTCGCGAAAATCGTATCCGGCCGGAGCCGGATAATCCGGCAATCCGGATAATCGCCGGATACCCTGCCCAACTCTACATTTTTGCGACAGCTTAAGATGATAGAGAAAGTAAGGTAGTGACAGATACGAAATTAAAAGAGTAAGGAGCATTTTGCGATGGAAATGAAAAGCTCACAAGAAACATCAGCAGATTCCATTGAACTGCTTTTTACCTTTGCTGGGTACTACCCTCCTGTAGGCAGCAGTCTCAGGTCCAAAGGTCAAACTCACGATGCTTGTATTTTAATGGTGTTAAAGAAGCTCGGTACATTGCCATGACACAAAAAACTTAGGAAATTTCATGGCAATTCCAATTTTCTTGGCGGAATCTATTGTATTTTTCAGTCGTTTGTGGTTGTGATTCATTGAATGATAAAAGTAAAATTCTACGTGTTTCAATGCTTTAAAAGTGGTGGGGAACTCACTTTCAGACCATAGATGTGTTGGTTTATTGAAGAAATGATAAAATTTCGTATTTTCTCAATGTTTTGCAAAAATATCAAATTTACGACAGTTAACGTATTTCTGGCAACATTGCGAGGGTCATAAATGAACTTGGCATATCAAAGTCATGGGGATACATCAGTTTCAAGACGTAAAGTTGAGACAAAACGGCGCTAGCCCGTTTTGTAGGTGAAAAAACGTGATTATTTCATAAAATTCGAAACTGTAGGTGGACCGTGCCATGGGTAGGAACTAATTTTGGGAAAAGAAAAAACAGGAGTTTTTCGCTCCACCCAATGGTGCACTATTACACGGTAACAGGGATGGATTGTAAAATCCAACTTCCAAGCCATTGTATTTCAAGTGAAATGTTGGACCAAAAATTCATTTACCTCCACAAGGCTCTCCTGCTTCTACCAACTGAGCTACAACTTGCGCCTGATCTTCACCTTCACCACTTTCTATTGTTATGCTAGCAGCGCCATTTGCTGATGCTTCCATCTGCAAAATAATCAACACCGTTGTTGGCAAAAAGAAAAATAAGCACCAGAGACATGAAAAAAAAGTTTCCTACTGAGATGCTGGACGTTCGGTTGATTTGGATGAGTGAAAAATTGGAGCCGATCAAAAAAGCGGAGGGGTTTTTTTACAATCTGTTTCTTCGGACTGTTCTAATTCACAAAAATATTTTTTTCTGTTTAGATCCTAGGAAGCATATTTTTTTTCAAGGCCATAAAATATGGAATGCTGTTACCAGGCTCTTAACAAAGGCCCGACTTCAATGGAACTAAAATCGATACAATAATAATATCATAATGACATAATTTTCTCTTGAAACCGCCTACAGGAGTGAAGACCTCAATCCCGGAATGTGAATTTTTGGGGAATTTTTTTTTGTCAAGTTGCGTCAAAAATTGATGTCAGAGTTGTCGATGGAAAAAGTTCTTAATATTCCAAACAAATAGTTGTGAGTAACTCCACTCATTTTATTAACAATTGAGAAAGCAGAGTTGTATTTGGATCTGAACATTTTGGACCTTGAGCATGGCATGCTGAAACTTTAAATACTTTTTTGTTAAAAAAATGTTTTTCTAACTGCAAAATTCTAACAATCGTAATTCCAGTTGAGTTTGAAATTTTAGAGCATCTTTTGTCGCAAAACAAGTTTGTAATTCATTCTTGTATGCGACGGTTTGCATGACTCATTTTAGAATTTAACGGCACAGCAGGCCTTTCCTCTCGTAGCCAGTTCCATGTGAAACACACACTAATACAAAACAGCAAAATTTGGCATTTTAAAGTTTCTGAGCTCATTGTAAGCAGACCATAAAAAATGTAAAGTAGCCACTTAAATTTTGGTGACTGAATATAAAATTAAAAATTTTTACCTGTTCCGGCATCAGCTGCCCAACTGAATTCGCATACTGCGAGGGATCAATAGCTAAAACAGAGCCGTCTTCACCACCTTGTGTCACGAAAACACACTGTTGCGTGCCTTCTGCTCCTTCAAGCAAGATTGTTTCACCATTTAACTGAGAGCTTGAAACCTATTGAACATAGATTGCTGTTGATTAAGAGGACAACTGAAAAATTATGATCCTTGATTGAGGTGAAAACTCAAGACAAGGCAAGCAAATGTAAAACTAAATGGTGCAATTATCTACACTTCTTGTTAACAGCTCAATTAGGGTATTATTAAAGAGTATCAAGATGCTTCTTTACCCACGACCCCCAATAGTCACCCAGTAGCAGAGGGTTGGCAAAACTACTGTGGCCAACCTTCAATGCAAATTAACTGATGCTTGGTCATATTAAGGTTGCCATACATTTTTCTTTTCAAATTCCTTCACTTCCAAGGAAAGACACTGTCCCATATCTTTCTTCGACTTGGTTGCCTTTTTGTCTTTTTTTGCCCCTTGAGTTTTGAAAAAAAGGATAAAAAGATAATTGATGCATGTGACCCAATGAAGAAAGTCACAATGTAATGTAAAAAAACCACTTCTATACTTTTTGAAATTCTCTCACTCTACCTGGCTTCTGTAAATGAAAATGTCTGCAGGATCCTGGACTTTTGCTAGTCCTTGAAGAAAATTTCAAGGTCTAGAAATAACATTATGGGAAAAACGTACTGAGAAGTTGTTCAAAAGGTACCAACCCTGGTACGAATAAGAAACACGATGATAAGCTTACAGGGTTAGTCAGGAGCTGCTGCAATATTAAACTGAAAAATTTCCCTGACAGCTACTACTTTCTTGGGCAGCGGTTAAGACAGACTCCCTGATTTTCAAAATGAAATTACGCAAAATGTCAGCAAACCTGGTAAACAGTGCCGTCTTCTCCGGTCACATGGATAATATCGTCACCAGTTTCTACGCCCTCCATCATCACTCCTTCCTGCTGTTGCAATATTATTTGTTGGTGCTCCAATTCTGATGATGGTGATAGAATTTTTTTCACTCTCAAGCCTCCAACATTGCATTCGTCTCCTAAAGATGCAAATTCGGCCCCCTCTTCTTGACTATTTGATAAGGCCTCTGTCACCATGCCAGTTGTGCCACCCGGACTCATTTCAACCTTGACATGGCAATCAAAGAAATATAATGATGAGAGCAGCTCCGGGAATTGTTGTAAGTGTATTTATCAATATTTTCTTGTCTATTTCAAATTGAAGTAAAAAATATTGAAAATTGAAATTTTCAATTTTAGCAAGAACAACCTTGATTATGAATTGGTTAGCTTTCATTGATGAAAACCATAATGATAAATTAAAGGAGATGGGGAGACAAAGTTTAATAGGTAGGTGGGAAGATTCACTTGAGAAACCTCAAATGAGCATGAGAAACTACGAAATTTGAAGACAGAGATTGATATAGCAAGTAATTCATTGATTAGGAGGTGCTGCTATCTGACTGAGAAGCAACTTATTTGCAAATGATTAGTGACAAGGCACTGGTCAAATTGAGCTATTCAAGAATGATTACAATACTGCTGTTGATACTATTTTTGTAATTGATACTTTCAAGTAATCAAAATTTTTGATCGAAACTGCACCACAAAGATGTAGTTGTAATTATGGTGTCATGTGATGGTATTTACAACTATTCTGATGATGGCCAAAAGACCAAGGAGTTTCAGCATTTAATAAACGAAGTATGTAGTTATTTGGCGGTACGATACCCTGACTAGAAAATCTTCTAAGTATCGCTAAGGTGCCTTTACCGGATAACTTTATGACCGCTTACCAGAAAATTTCCTACCGCTAAGGTGCCAACAGTAGGTATACATACTACAGGTAACATCTCAATGCTAGGGGCTTCAGGACGAATGTAAATGCACTAACATATTTCAGTGCTTCGATGCTTACGTAAACTCTGACTGTTCTTTGCATGCACTTCAAAATTTCTGCAGACAAATGCACTTAAAAACCTTATGAATATTGTATTGCTAATACACGTAGTCAACAACTTGACAAAAACACAACTAATCAGGGAAAAGGTGCGAAATTTTTATGGCAGCCCGAAAACACGAAGCCGGTTTCTGACGTGAGTACTAGTGGGTCATTGATTTTTGCGCGTCCAAGATTGCCTTGTTTACATAATTTCTCCAGATAATACCAATAGATCACCGTAAATGGCGTTTGCTTGCTCATCTGGTGGAAGCATCTTACCTGTAAGAAATTTTTTGGTTAGTGGTTAAAAAGTCATCCGGTAAAGGCACCTTGGCGGTAGGAAATTTTCCAGTTAGCGGTCATAAAGTTATCTAGTAAAGGCACCTCAGTGATGGTTAGAAGATTTGCTGGTCAGGGTACTGTACCAGCAAATAACATTTTATCCGACAGTACCGTACCAGTGCATAACGTTTTATTCGACAGCCGTACCGCCGAATGACGCAAACCTTTAATAATGGGATTGACCAGTTTTTTAAACACTTTATTTTGTCCTCATTTTATCGATTGCATATGGCGTCACTTGACTTGCTATCTTTAAACAGTTATAATCCATGGTTTAATTAAAATGTAAAGTCATGCATCATTACCTTTATAAAATGGCCTTGACTTGAATGCTCAGTTTGCATATCTATCGTTTCTGTAGATTCTGTTGATTCTGATGAGGGTGCTGGCTCAGGTGTTTTTGGAGGGGGCGTTGGGGGAGGAGTTGGTTCAGGAGACGGAGTCCTCTCACCCTCCGCTTTAGCCAAACGTTCACCGGTGTAAGGATCTAATGTTAACGGCCTTGGAGGACTGTTTTCGACTGCTTCAATAGGTGGTAAATCTGTTAAAAAAATTGACATCAATAACAAAAAAACTTCAAGTATTAAAAAAACATGCCTCGCTAAATAGACAGGCTCATAAAAAATTCGAAATCTGGAGCTTTTTGTATTTTATTTAATTTTATAAAGCATTTGCTTTTCTTGCAAATAAGGCACATTTCTAAACATTTTAAATAAGTATTGCATTTTTAAGAATTTTTCGAAGTTTGGCAGATCTGTTGATTAACAAATGCTTTTTGCGAGTACTTGGTTTATTTATTTCTTTTCTTTTTTTGAAGCATTTGCACTTTCTGGGAAATTTATTTTGGTATTCAGCTTTAAGTAAATTTATCTCATTGAGGGAAAGAGTTATCTCTAAAAAGATTTTACTTGTCCAGCAGCTGAAAATTTACATTTGGGATGAGGAATAAACTCTGAATAAATTTTTTTTTTTACATCTTTCAAAATTGAAAGTTGTATGAAAATCAGCAATTGTTAAAATGATGAACATGTCGATATAAAATTTTTGTAAATTGAATAGATCCACCTCATCTAAAGTTTTAGCATATGTGGCGGTCGGTAAAGAAAGAGATCTCAACACACTTAGGCATATTTTTGAGAAGAGCAATTTATATCTAGTTACTTAAAAGGAAAATCTGGACTACATTTTGCAATAAGAAACTACTGTTGAGACTTCTCTGAGACATAATGATCCCGTACGGAAAATGAAATAAATATAAAAATGATTAACAAACCTGATGGAAAATCGTCTTCCAGACCATAATCACTGTCCGAGTCAGATTTTGCTGTGTGGAATTCCATTAATATCTTGTCATTATCGACCAACTTGGCACTTGGCGCTGAAATAGGTACAAGAAGTTGATGCAATAAATTACCCTGCCAAGCATTTGAGATTCACACTAATAAAAATGCTGGCTAAAATAAAAGACAAGTTTTCTGTTTTTCTGGTAAAGCAGCAAAGATACACCAAGGTAGGCTAGAATGTACCAAAGCTGACAAGCACTGACAGTACCTTTGTATCGCTCATCAAATTTGCAGAATTAAGAATCCATCCGATATGCCAACATTCAAACGTATATAACTGGATGTATTTAAGATATAAGGAACTATGTTGCACGCAAACCCTGTGCACAAGTTCCTTTTAGCATAGATACATCCAATTAAAGGCTGAGATGATTTGACAGTAGGATGATTCTGAGTTGAAAAGAGGTGCAGGATTAGATGTTACTTCTTTACTTGACCAGTTATAAAATCAACTTAAAAAGAATTGACTTCCACAAAAGTTCTTTGATTTCTGTTTGAACTGCAAACCAACTACATACTACAAATAAATAATCAACAAATTTGATTGAGTTGATCGGTTGAAGGAATGCTCCCTGAAATTGGCAAAACGAATACCATTGAAATATGTCCATATACTCACAAGACTGAGGTTTTGCGACAGATTTTTTTAGCAGCGTTCCAGGAGACACGTTTAGTGATTTTCCTTTCAATGCTGCTACTTTGTCCTAAAGCCAAAAATAAGAACATGAATCATATGAAAATGAATAGAGTCACTTCTGAATGTTAATGCCAAAAAGGACCTTGATGCAAAGGGGAAAGTTACCAAGGGAGTGGTATTTGAACAGTTAGGTCGAAAAATCTACTTCAAATTTCTTGACAATAATCACTCTTCATTACATCAGTGCAGAAAGTTCTTTGCTTTTCTGTTTGTTGAGGTATTGTAAAATGGCCTTCACATTGCTACGCACATAAGACTTTTCTTCCTCTCCATTTTTTGAGATAGCCTTCACATTGCTGTCTACATGAAACTGTCCGCTTTGCTATTTTTTTCGCAAAAAGCAGTTTCACACACGGTTTCCTCCTCAAAAAGTAGCCCTGCCTTTTAATTCAAGTGCCTTCACATTTTTCCCTTGAAAAGCCTCCGACTGGCCTGCGACCAAACAGTCGAGCACTTCTTGCACGAAGCTCCAAAAAAGCAAAAAATTAAGAGAGGGTGTAAAATCGCATTCCAATTTGAAAATTATGCCTCCGAGACATTGAGATATAGTTGACAGATCAAATATTGATTTTAGTGCTGATCATAAATGAAAAAATTGAATTTCAACTTTTCTGAGTTTCTTAACTTGACGGAGTCTTGGGCTTCAAATGAACTTGATAACACTAAACTTCACGTACCTCAGAGGCAAGGAGGGCAGATCCTAGAATTGACTGAATTGGCTTAACTCTGTCCTTAGGTGGTCTCCCAACTGGATTGGGACCTCTAGGTCTCAAAGGCGGAAACTGAATTTTGCTTAAAGGTGGGGGCCTTGTAGAAGAGACCGGAACTCTACAAAAAAAAAGAGAAATAAGCACAAAGCATGAGAATCATCATCCGACGCTGAGAGGCACTTCCACATTCTCATCTGAACTTTTTCTCGACTATAGGCAGGGGCCCAGAAAATGCTGGATTGCAATCCCACAGTGAGTCTCATTAGTGACTTCAAGGCAAAGGCCTCTAATAAGCGGCTGGTTAATGCTTAGTGTTGTACAATCAAACGTCATTGAATCAACGCTAACAGATTAGGTCCAGTTTCAACAAAATACCAGCCTCAGTTGTGACAAATTGAATCCTCTCTGGTGAAAAAGCATTAATTTTTTATGTTGGTAGCCATGACAACTGCATTGAAAATTTCAGACCTAGCTCCCAGATATAAGTTCAAAAGTGGATGGATGCAAGTTTCAGCCGTAAGTCAAACCATAGAATGAAGTGTCAGGTGTTTTTCTGTGTAAGTTACAACCCCACCTATCAGGTTCAAAAAAAGAACCAAATCCACTGGAGGAAATTCAACTCCTTAAAGACTTCGGTGTTTTACTATTGGTTACAATGGCCCTGTTGAAAACTTCAGCTGAAGCAAAAGGAAGCATTATTTCTCAAAGAAAATGGTTAAAAAATCTAGATGATTACATCAGGAAACTCTGAAGTACACTCCTAACTTCACAATCTGCATAAGGAATATGCATTTTTTAAAGCTTACCACTTCAAAAACGATACTTTGGCACAAATGAACATTCCGTAAGAAAGGTTGTTCCACCCAACTCTTGCACACTAGGATGCTACGCAATATTCAACATGGTTGATGCCAGCCCCCCCCAACACTCGTAAAGAGATGGGATTTTATCAACCAGCGTGTTTATATTTACACTTTTCTTGCATTGATGAAGACCATGATGCTTCTCCTTGATTTGGCGTGGAAGCATTAGCGATGTTGAATACTGCACAGCGTGCTAGTGTGCAAGGGTTGGATGGAACGATTCGTATTACAAAATGATCATTTGTGCTGCAGTATCGTTTCGAAGCAGGGAGCTTAAGGAAGCATACTTCTTGCACAGATTATAAAGTTAGGAGTGTATAATAGACTTTTTTGGTGTGCTCATTTTCATTTTAGAGCCATTTTCTATAAAAAATAACTCTTCTTTCTACTCTAGCTGAAGTTTGCAACAGATCCATTAGTGCAAAACACATGATTTCACTACCATCACTTGTCAGTTGATATGTTTTAACTTATGCTTAGTACACAACACTATATACTTTGCATCGATACTAATAAATGAAAGGATTATGAAGTCATAAAATACCTTGGAGTGGCTATTCTTTGGAGGGGTCTTGGAGTGGATGTTCCAGATGGCCTCAGTAAGCCAGTTGGTCTTGGAGAATTATTCAATAGAGATCTGGGAAGAATACTTCTGTGTACGGGGACTTTCGGTGAGTTTGGTAGAGCCTCTTGCACTTTTTGCGGAACTTGATTCTTCCGAACAATGCCAGATTTAGGTACTCCCCTCTGTGTGGGCGATTGCAGAACGACAACGCCTCCCTTGGATGTTTGCGGTAATACGCCAGTCTTTCGAAGGGATGATAGTGCTTTTTGAGGTGATAAAGAATCTAGTTTAACAATGCCAGATTTATTTGACATTATGTACACACCTGAGCTGAGATTAGGTACCTGACTTGGATCCACTTTGACTACTCCTTTTGCACTGGCAACCAAAACCTGCAAAGATGGGAGCAATGATTAAAATACCACTGATTGCCATTAATTACATGAGAGAGCATTGAATGAGAGATTGATCATATGCACTAGGATTCTTAGTATTCTTCAAACTTGAATTCCCTGTATTTTTCCTGTTCTTAGAGAGTAAAAAGAGAGGACAAAATACCCCATCTAAACAATGCTGACACCCTAAACTGAAAGTTAAACACTGTCATGATTGTGAAGAGCCAAAATTCTTTGTTCAGGGCTACATTTCTGAATCCCTCTGTTACCAAGCTTTTATCTCATATTCCTTGGAATCTATAGTCTTTCTGGACGGATTAAAATTCCTGTGTTATCACAGTTGCTGGGAACCCTGTTATACTCCCGGATGATAATCTACAGGAAGGTGGACCTTAGATCAAGGAGGCAAATTTTCATTCATGAAGGTTGATTTTTGTGAGACTGAATTAAAAAATTGGTGATCCTGTTTTTGACAGAAAAAGCTCTCCAGTTTTACTAGGAAAGTAGAAGCAATCTATTTAGTCAATTTTTGATATTTCTAATAATAATAATGATAATAATAATGAAGCAGTTATACCCTTAATACAGGGTTGCCAAAGAATTTAGAACATGAAAGGACCGCGCACACCTCTTATGGGAAGCTGCACCAAGAAGAAACCTTAATTATGGCATTCGATTCTCCTCAAGATGCTGATCAAAAGTTATTACTGCGCCAACTTTCTACGATGCACCATTATTGCAAAAAAACAGTCGAGAAGAGTCAATTATTTGGCGATAAAAAGCCAGAAAGATTCCTCATTTCAGCACTTAAGTGCTGTAAGTCAACAAGGAAATCAGGAGAGCTCTCTCACCGACCGGCAGTCGTATCTCGGATTTCGCTTGCCGTTTGGCTTGACCGTCCAAATTAGATTCTTGAGGAGCATAAGAACAGGAAAGTCAGAGAAAAACAGTGGATGTCAACCGGACAAGAGCGGGAGGGAGATAGCCCCAGAGTTGGCAGGTACAGATAAGAGGACGGAAATGCGCCACGTTTTATCCTTATTTACATCGGGTCTGTTCTTGAATGCTTCGTTCTTTTTTACTCATTGACGCCGAATAATTGAATCTCGGCCGTTTTTTGCGAAAACGGTGCATCATAGAAAGTTGGCGCAATGATAACTTTTGATCAGCACCTTGAGGAGAATTGAATGCAATAAAAAAAATTAAGGTTTCTTCATGGTGCAGCTTCCCATAAGAGGTGTGCAGGGTCCTTTCCTGATTTACCTGCCGCATTTTGGTAAGATTCCCTGACAACTGAGGATATACCAGCTGGTTGAAAGGAAATAATTTGATTTAGTTTACAGGCAAAATTTGCCGTTTGAAAGGTTAAACCCATTCTAGGAAGCAAATGAAGGCGACTCAATAATTTTTCCCCAACACAGGAAGCACTTCAACGGACAAAATGTTTTTACAAAAAAGGGAAACAGGCCAGTTTCCTGGAACAAACGAAGTAATGTGAACAGTTAATACCTCTTGGTTTTGCTGACTAAGAGAGGATATTGATCTAACCACTGGTTTGATAGATTTGTTTGGTGACGAGTCAGAATCTGGACCGATACCTAGTTCAGCTGCTAGTCTTGACAGAACTTGCTGCCTTTCAGGTACTCCATTTACAGCTGTTTTGGGAGATTCAGCTGTAACAAAGCAAAGAAATTAGAAAAAAAGTAATATTTACAGTTCAAACGAAGATGACTGTTTCAATTGTAACAAGACTTTGTAAGGCTCAGTTAGAAGGGAAATATAAATTTAATAAATAATATTGGCAGGAAACTTGTAAAACTTTTATAACTAAAATCTAAAATTGATTATAAGTCGGAAAAAGATCTAAAAATTTAGTCTTCCGATTTTTCGAACTTTCGAGGCTTTTCAGCCTTGCAGATATTTTTCAAAATGAGTGACCAGATTGGTTGGAAAATGCTAAAAATTATATGAAAGATAAATTGTTACCTCAATTAGGACGTTCTCATCTAATTCCACTGTAATTTGCAACAACTGGGAAGAGAGAAAAGATGCAATATGAATTTAAATTAAACTTACTTCTGCTGCTGTATTTAAAGGCGCTGAACATTTCATTTTTGTCTAATTTCATTTTTTTAGAACCACTAGGTCCTTCATCATCCGTGCTATCAGAGTTTCTCCTTTTGCCTGCAATTGTTAATTAAAAGTTTACAGTAAGATAAGGGGAAAAGAGTTCATTTTGACTGAAAAATATGTTTGTATAAAATTTTATTCTTGAAGGAAAAATTTAGTGTTTTCTTAATGAAAGGAAGGTTTGCATGGACTGCTACTAAACATGCTGCTTTTCTTTCATAATTGATTTTTGAAACATATTTCATGTTTGCAATTTTTAGAGCAATCTCTTAGGTCAGATTTTCACGGAGACTTATCGTCATAGCATTGAAATACCCATTGTGCAGCATTTTTGTAGCAATCCAGTAAATTTAATGGAAGATCGATGGACAGATGTTCTCAAACGGATTATGACACCTCTAAGTGACTCTAGCATTCTGTTCTATTTTTAGCCTTGGGTTTGGTTTGTTTGTTTGATTTCGTTATTTTTTATTTTGTTCTGTATTTTTTTTGGCTGAATATTTGAAAGTGTTTGCTGAAATTTTCCAAGATATTAACTATTGACAGAAATCAATTATATTATTTGTTCAGTACTTTTTCTTACTGGCATTATATTTCTCCTTGAGGAAAGAATTGAGTGCTCACACAGTACCTTTTCACCATTACTTACAATTAATCCCCCCCCCCCCTGAAAAAGTTTACAAGAAACTTTGGACCCTGCACAAAATTTCATGAAAGTTCTGCTCCTTTAGAATGCTTGAAGACCCACCTTATAAGTAAGAACTGTATCCAGGTTATCTAGCCTTTCCGGACGAGTGGATGTCCTAGAATTCATGCTATTTTCATGTAATGCTTCCCTTATCTAGTACATGTAATGTTGTTGTTTTATGTTGATCTTTACTTGTTTTATGTATGGTGCAAGTGAGTTGAATTTTCGTCCTTTTTTTTAAAATTGTAATGCTTTATTTCATAGATTTATTTAAAACATACCTGATTCGTCCATTCGCATTGTGCCACACCACTCCTTCACTTGACTGAGGGCTTTTTGTTTACTATTCCGTATGGGGCGTCTGAAATTAACAAAATGTATTTATTTTACAAGGAGACACGCATAACTCTACATGAAAGGAGAAATACATTTGACTTGCACAAACGTTTTGAACAAGAATGGACAAATAAAACTTTTTTTAACACTAATAAAACCACTCATTTGTTACTTACTACTTTAATACACGATGGCCATTTTGGGCTTGGATGCTTATCGTCCAATGGTGCAGATGAAGTGTTAAAAAGTGTGTTATGCGACAACAAAGTGTAAAAAAGACATTTGACTTGCTTTAACTGAGTAAAAATAAATAAAATCAAACTATATTAAAATTCAATGAGAAAGAAAGTTTCACTTGAAAAGATACTTTGCTAAGATCTTATTGTTTTCAGACAATTTGAGAAAGTTCAGTGTCAAAGAAAGACAACCTTGACGGAGGAACTGGACTTTGTTCTTTTTAATATTTTAGAACTTTTACACTTCCAATAAGTGGTATATATTTCCTTTGACTAAGCTACAAATTATAGAGGATAGAGTCAATTTTCATGTTACTCATGGTATTTCTATAAAGCTAACTTTCCAGAAAACACTCAATGAATGTCAATATGACACTTACTAATTTGATCAGGAATTTTTTGGATTTTTTCAGGATGAGCTGCCGGATGATGAAAGGTAACACAAAATTATTTTCATGTGCCACTAATATGTTTCTCTCTCTTTGGATCAAATTATTTAAGCTTTGGAATTCCTTTATGCTTGATTCAATAACTTACCCTTGTTCATTTACTTTCTCCCCTACTTTCGGAGATGCCAAAGTGGACTTCATCTTGGCGTTCTGCTGCATTTTAGCTATGTTTGCTTCATAGGCTTTTAGTAGATGCTGACAGTCTGAGAGGTTATCTGCCGGCTCCCAAGTATTTTGGTCCCTTCAGAATATTAATAAAATAAAGAATAATTATTTGGATAGATAAAAATATAAAACATTATACACTGAAGACTTTCGGTTGGATATCACCCAAAATTTTGATAACCAAAATACAAGACAATTTATCTTGAATGCTACTGTGGTCTCTTTAATTTTTTGACTAAAAACATAAGAGGGGCATTTTTAAAGTACATGAATTTTTCCAGAGAGGAATGAGGATACTTGGAATCGATAAAAAATGTCTCATCCGTTACCCTGTAAGCTTTCCAATAAGTCTTTTTTCTTTAACTTCGGTCCACTGTTTAGCACGCGACATTATTCTTTCCACACCCACCTGTCACTGGCGCAAGTCCTAAAATTAAGACTATACGACATGTATAAACATAAATTGCAGAACTCATTAGAGGAGTATCAAAATCGCTCTGTTTTAACACTTGTTTGGTTCTTAAAGATGAAAAAAAAAATAATCTATCCAGCCCAAAAGGATATTCCAGCTGTAGACTTTGACAAAATCTCTTTAGAAAACCCAAAATTGATAATAAATTCGGATGCAAAGTATTGAAAAGAAACTTAGCCTAATTTTTACTACTGGAGAAGTACCGAAAACTATTTAATAGAAGAAAAAAAAAGAAAACAATACTTTTGACAGAAATTTATACGAAAGAACAAATTTGTTCGACAGAAATAAGGCAACACTCTATACAATTGACCATGCTACCCCAAAAGTTGCGAATATTTAAAATTTTGAATCTCCCACGATTTTCCTTGATAATCCTAATATGTGTATACTTCCTAAGAGGATTTATCATGAAAAAATTTTTACTGAGAGTCCTGGCCACTAGACTAAAGTATTTTATAAAACCGTATCTAAGGGAGTGGATTACGATCTTGCAGTTTGCTGGAGACAGTGGCGTGGCGTGGCGTGCTTTACAGTAATCTATTGATCCGTCATTTAAACCTAAGGAAAAGCATCCAGAAACAGGGTGTTTGCGGCAAACACCTTAGTAATCGATTATTTACTACAGCTTCAAATGGGGAAATATCGATAGATCGCAAAGCACGCCTTGCCAATGGCAGGAGAGTTATTTGTTAGGCAGAACTAAATAGGAGGTATTACAGTTACATGGAATAGGCTCTTGTCTTTTCCAAATTAATTTTAAAGTGTCACAGTGATTTTCAAGCTTAAGGAAAGATGATCAAGGAAGGTTCATGGCAATGGAGTCATTAAACTTATCATTGTGATAAGAAATCGTCTGCTATAATGCGCATTATGTGAACCACAGACAAGTAAGCTTGTGTTCCTGTAGCACTACCTCAAACTCTAGGCACTTTACAGCTTTTTCATTTTGATGAAGTGAGACTTGAAATAAACGTTATCTATCGGGGAGGATATAAGCTACAACACTGGCACATTTACGACAGAATGCAAGCATGTCGCTGCTTCCAAGAGAAGCTCAAAAAGCTTGTTGAGATGTCCTCTCTTATCTACTTAAATTGTATACACTTCGAATTGTGACTTAGTGATGGCGGGGTTAACTTGATGGAAAAAAAAAAGGAAAAAAAAAGAAGTACACTGAATGTACTTACGGAGGATAGCCTTCCCATTTGAGTAGGTATTCAAACTGTTTCTTCTTAGTGTTGTATCTCCTGGCAACAATTCGTTCCACACTGTATTCTTCATTACTGTCCTCCTCTTCATCATCGGCGGTTGTTCCACTTTTTGCGGGTCTTGACTGCTGATTCAGAACGACGGTTTAAAAATATAGGCAAAATTTACAGAAATTGTTACAAGAGAAAATTCAATCATTTCACTCAGCACTGAATGGAATCTCATCAAAAAGAATTACTTTGGAAAAGAGGAAGTCTGCTTGTTGTAAGTGATCAGCAGAATTCCACATATTTACTTAACACAGGCTTTCCATAATTTCTTCCCTTGCCGGTTTCCTGACTTTTCCATAAATTTTTTTGATATTTCCTGACACCAAAATTGCCAAATGCCCTGACTTTCCTAGATTTCCAATCAAAACCTCTGCTTAAATTTTTCTTCTTTTGATTGTGCTGACTTTTTCTGAGCTTTGGAAAAAATCTCCACTTTTAAAGATTTAAATTAAGGAAAAAGGCATTGAGAAGTTCTTGAGCCAAAGCACTACTTGCATATGTATCACCCTGATTTTCCAGGTTTTCTAGATCGCTGGAAATCTTGTCAAAAAATATGAGCTAAGAGAGAAAACAAATGATTAAGGTGAATCCTCAGCTGCAGTTCCGAAAAAATCCACCACGTCGCGCTGCTAAAATCCGGCTCCGAAATAAGTGATTATTATAGATATATTAAATTCTAAGACTCATAAGTTCTAGCAGCATACATCTGGAATGCTTAGAAAAAAAACGCGAGCTTTGAAAGTTTAATAGTAAAAGCTATAACTTGATCCCAGTTTCTCTTATGGGATATCTTTAAGTGCGAGAGAGATAGCTCACGGTGGGAGAGAGATATCTGCAACTGCTGAGAGCAATCAATCGCAATTGGTCGCATCAAGGTCATCATGCTTAACCCTAATTTTTCCTAGGATCATGTTTCAGAGCTTCAGAAATGACTTTTCACGTCTTTTTTAGTGTCAATAGGAAGAAGAATGTTATGGCTAGAACTTATGATTCTTCCATTTTAACAGAAATTCCTTTAACTTTCATAAAAGCAAAAGCTCAAGGACTCACGTGGAGCTGTACGGACTTTAATAGTGTGGACCAAAAAATCAAAACACAGGCGCTCCCTGCGCAGACAAAGTTCTTACTACGCACCGCTGTAGATTCACCTTAATCGGTTCATTAAAGGATTTCTTTAATGATTGGAGAATCCACCAGTGGTACTCTATCCGTCACCAATTAAGGACACAGCTGCTTCAGATCAAGGTAAGTGAAACATAGGTATGCTCTTCCCAACTCATTCGGCCAAAACTTGGCTTTTGGCACCCGCCGGTAGAGCAGTGCAGAGAAATATAAATTTCAACAACTTTGCAGTCTTGGCCAAGAATAAATACGACCGTCTACTGTTGATGAAGATGAAAAAAAAAAACAGCCACAGTGCTAAAAGCAAATGAATTTTCATTTGTAAAGAATTTGCTTGCATTGAATTTATTCGTTTTTATCAATAGCTGACGGTTATATTTCTTTTTGGCCAAGACTCCAAAATTGTTGGAATTCAAACTTCGTGCCACAGCTCTAGCGGCGGAAGCCTAAGCCAAGTTGTAGCAGAAAGGGTCGGGAAGAGCATACCTACGTTTCACTTACCTTGGCTGCAGATTATTCATTAAAAGTCATTATTGTTGTTCCATAGGTTGAATTCTCCGCAGGTGGACTGGAGGATTTGTACTGAATTAATCATCCCACCACTTGATCTGTTCCAATTATTGATCATAAGTACCAAATCCACAGGCGCGGCGGAGGCTGTAATAGTTGTGGCATCTGCACCCGCTGATTAGTTGAAAACAGGGATGCAGAATCTTCCAGGCTTCCATATTCTCACCCTTCCAATTTCCACATTTGCCCTTTTTAATTCAATAAAATTTCCCGCCAATGAACCACGAGACAAGGTGCAAATTTCAGCATTATGATACGTGATTACTCGTCAAAATTTCATGTACAAAATTATTTGAGCGACGAAAATTACTGGAGGTAACTCGTAAGAAAGATATTAACGTTTTTCGATGCATGAATTCAAACTTTCCGCTCATAGAAAACACAATTATCTATTTAAGTTAAATCACTTAATGTTACCATGGCAGCCTTAACATGACAACCTCAATATCAGCGCTTCAGCTTGGCTGTTGCACGTTGTCTACACTTTAAAAGACACACAGTAGGGAAAGAAAACAGCTCAATTGCAAGACCTATCAAAACTGTTGCAATATACAATTTGATACAAGAGGACTCTTGATTTTCATGTAAGCAGGAAATCCAAATTTTTCGTAACTCATGCTACATAATAACGTTATTATCTTGGTTTGAAGAGAATTTCAATAACTGGGAGACAAATAGCAGAATGCTTAAATTTTTCCTTTGTCCTTGAGTCCATTGCAAAAGTATATGTTTATATAGTAATGTTCTTTTTTTTTTTTTTTTTTTTTTTTTTTTTTTTTGTGTGTGTGTGTCAGATGTCTCCATTAAAATTTTAAAGTGCAATTACGCAAATCTTTTAATTTGAAAAATTGAGGAGGATTGTATCAAACTTACCGGTTTCCTCACTTTTCCAGTAAGATTTGATTCTCCATCATCACTTGTGACCTGCAAAGTAAAAAGATTCTTTATAGTTAATTTGTTCATTTTTTCAAAATTTAAAAAACTTTAAAGTGGTTTAAAAGGCATAAAAACAATTGGATAATCTTGGCATGGTGGTGTGTGGGGGATAGAAGGCTTGTAACCGGAAATATCTTGTTGTTAAGGTCAGAGGAGAAAATGTGTTAGCCATGCATGTTTTTCAAGATATTTTTGACACTAAATTGGAAAAATACAATAGTTTTTCTCCATTATTCACAGATTATCTCAAGAATCGATTTTATGTAGAGAGGCTTGATTTTTGGATTTTCAAATCCATCCAGCCAAAACCTGACCAATCCAGAAAAAAAGGAGGCCATTTTTAATTTATTGTTGCAACGTAACCTTGAGCTTTGACTGCATATGGAATTCTGAAACTTGCCAGAATCTATTCAGACTGAAATGGGTATTTTTGCACTTTTTGTGCAGTTTTCATGGACATCGAGCAGGTTAAATTTTCTGGGGTGAAAACTCGACTAACAGAGCAGATATTTAAATTGAATTCCAACTTGAAGTTGGTCCCTCTGCGATTCAACTTAGTGCAGGCTTACCGTACTTTAAGAGGACCAGGGTGCCTGGCATTCCCATTAGGCCAGCAACTCTGCTACTATTCATTCAATTTCTTGTCAGAGAAGAAAATGTGTTAGCCATGCATGTCTCTCAACATATTTTTGACTTTAAATTGGAAAAAATTTTCTAAAATGTATCTATCATATAACAACCAGTTTAATTACACCATTCTGCCTTTAATCTTGCTAGAATTGTTGCTTCAATGCCTCACATTCTAGGATCTAATAGAATTTCTGTTAGTGACTTTAAAGGAATATTTGTTAACTTTTCAGAGGAAGGATAAATTAGTACCTCTTCTTTAATTTGGAAAGACTGAACAATCCCATCACTAGCTTCAGGTCTTTGTAAGGAGTCACTATCATCCTGCAAAAATTTAGAATCATTGACTTTAAAGATGAGAAAAACGAATACAGAGGATACAGTGAAAAACTTTCCTAAATGAGTAATTTTGTATTAATTAATGGCCACAATAAGTTTTTCCCTCAATAGCTTACAGTAACACAGTAACTACATATGTACAGAAAAAAGAGGGTGGTGACATTTTGAACATCTTGGATAGAGGTTCATGACATTAGTAAATGCAGACTTTCTTGTAATCGCTTTTTTTGAAAATAGTGTGGTTTACAGAAAAAACTGGCATGTCAAAGCAAGTTTAAAATATTTATGATGAATTACGCAAGAACGATGAATGTTAAAGTATTTTGAGTTTTGGATTTTGCAGGAATATTGACAACTAGACATACAACACCCACCTACATCACAATGTAAACAAATCAGGAATTGGAACTTCTTTTCTCTATAAATCACACATCATTTAAGAATCAAATTGAAAAAAGGTTAATTTGTCAACACTTTTTTTAAAGTTCTCATTTCAATATACTTGGAAGTTTTTCTCTGATCTTTCATTCTTTGAAAAGTAGTGATATTTTATAAATTCACACTTAGGAATTCCAAAACAAATTCACTTGTGAAAAAATTGTTTTGTCGGTTTGGAAAATTTTAAAAATAGGAAAAAAATTCCATAAAGCCCCCCCCCCCAAGGCGTTGGTGTCAATCTTTATATTTGCAACGTCCATCCTTCAATTTATGATTGCCGCTTATGTAACTTAGAGATTCTTTTGAATTGAACCACTTACAATTCCACTGGAATAAAATTCTCCTTCTGAATCTAAATTGGTCCTTAAATTATTGGAAGTTCCTATGCGTTCTGCATCATCCAAATGTTTTTTGTCTGAAACAATAATCAAACAGAACAGCCATAAGGAAAAAAAAATAACCTAGGATCTTGACCAACACACTAGTTAAGTTTTAAGAAATTCTATAAATGAACTGAAAAAATCTTCCATTGCCATCTTAACTCCTTCCTGCATCTAAATTTTCATTTTTGACACATCTTCTCATTAAGGAGATTGAAGTTAATTCCGGTCTTGTGTGCTGTGCCTCCCATGTGTAAAGCAAACTTATTCCTTTTTCATTAAATATCAGGTGATCACCATCCCTTTCATTGAGATGGTAATCTTCGGGTTTCCAGACAAAAGATATTTGCTCCCAAACATAAAGCAAAGCAAAAATTTAAAGATTTTCATCATGTTGCCTGCCACAGTTATTACCAATTATTTTGAATGGGGTAAGGCTTAGATTTAGCATCTATAGCTAACTGAGAACCCTTGGTGACTCACCAGGGTGTCTACTAAAACAGGCTGGCCAAAAATTGGTACTTCTACATTGCATTCCCATAAAATTCAGTACCTCCTTGACAGAAAAATTCAGTGCTTTTTCAGTACCTTCACTTCAATTGACGAAATTCGGCAAATTTCAAAAATTTGAATTTCCCACTCGCATTGCGGCAAAAATGAGAGCAAAAAATGAAAAAATTCCAGACCTAACTGTGGAATTCCGCACTTTTTCAGTACTTCCGGACCACCCTTAAAAAATCAGTATTATATCCGTACTTTCCGGACGAGTAGACACCCTGCTCACTTAAGGGATTGAAAGACCCTGGCTTTTGTGCATTGCAGTAATTGCTTACAAAATTTTTAGACAAATGGTTATCCGCCTCAGTGCCTTCAAGGTAGAAAACTAGACTTGGACCTTGGTGTAGGGAAAAAAAGGGTGGGAGGGGATAGTGACAGCAGGCAGAGAAAGTAAGTGGTGACTGCTGCTGACCCTGTGCGTGTCACTACATCAGTCAATTTTGCATGCTGCACAGGATAAAAAAATATTTTTTTTCTCGTATTTTATTCAATCCATAGCTCAAAACTCTGTAATTTTACAAACTCAAAAAAAATATAACCAGACAGCCACTTTTTTTGCTCAATTTTTTGAAACGGAGTTTGAACTATACATCTTGACAAATTGGTTTTTTGGAGAAAAACTTAAAAGCCCATGCAAGCAGCCAAAATATGCGTTGAGGTACTTAGTGACCCCACCCAGGTCACAAAATAATTTTTTGGGGCGCAGGTCATGGAGGGTTAACAGTAGAAATGGATCATATAGATAGCACAAATCAGAAAGGAACTAATGTTTTAGGCTTTTATCAGAAACTGAGCTTATGTAGAGGAACAGAGGGAAGAACAAGCAATTTTGCAAGGATGAGAAAATCACGAAATTCAGGAGTTTGACACAAAATATTGAAGTTCAAGGATTTTAACATTTTAATAAAAACACTCAAAATTATCATCCGGCAGCCTAAATCTTAAAAACGTATCTGCCGAGGACTTTGCTGCATGATTGAGTGCTTTGACAAATTCATGAGAGCATTTGTTCTCTAATTCTAAAAGCTTTTCATTAGAGGTGAGAGATAAAAACTTACCTGATGCAGTGAGATGCGGTGGTCGAATTTGACCTCTGTTAGGCGATTTTTGTAAAGTCCTATTAATTTTTTCTGATGATTCTGCAAGCACAATCGGGTAAGTGAGAGAGCATTATTAGTGTGCTATTGTAAACTCACATTATAAGACTAAGTGAAAATACTATTTTCTTCATTAATGATCATTTTATGATGAAAATTAATTGCTGCAATTTTCATTAAAAATTCCATTAGTTATAAGAGGATATTTTATTCTTTAATTACTTGCATAGCACTTCTAAAGACAGTGGAAGGGTAAAAAGTTGGACTGTTCGGTTTAATAATAACAAGCTTGACCAATCCTATGAATAACAAGATTTGTTCATGATACCATTTGGGGCTAGCAAAAATTTTTTTTATCTTTTTTGTTCATAAACACTTTTTTATTTATTTTCTTCAACATTAGCTTTTTGAGAAGTTCAGCAGTGTGCTTGTTTTAATCATCAGGTAATTTGCAGACATCGATATGGGACAGTTTGTTGATTCTTCTGTTTAAGCCACCAAAAATGTTTCCAGACCGTCCTTCTGTGATAATCTGCACATCAGGTTTTGCATTCATTCTAAAACATCATTGGTATGGTACTGCAGCAGCAAATGTAGCTATACTTGACTATACCTATTTTTTGGTGTAGACATCAGCAAAATCAGGAGTTGTCACTTCTGAGCTTCTGATCGTTAGACAAGTGTCTTCCTCAAGTTGTTTGAATCAATTTTCCTGACAATATGGGGGTAGGTATCTACTTACCTCAACTCCCAAGAATATGCAATGGCGATGACTAATTGGTAAATAGACTAGCGGCTGCTTTGAGCAAGATAAAAAAAATAATTAAGTAAAAGGCTGGGTGCACACCAAGCTGCTTCTTACCCTGGAACAGAGGAAATAGAGATTTATAAGTAGGATTGTTTCATCAACATAAATTTAAGAGGGAATGCCTTTTCCATAAATTCTCTGAGCAGATATTTAGAACCATTAATTCACTGATGGATAAGCTGAGATGAACCTACATTAAATCAGTTGAAATGGAATTGAGTCGACTTTCTCATGAGAGAAAGAGCTTAAGGCGCGAGGATTGTACAGAAAGTAAGTTTACCTATTCAATATCTCCTAAACTACAATTGATGGAGAAAATCTGTAAAAAAGCGTTGAAAATTCACTTCTCTCAGCCTTCTAATGTGCTGTAGAATTTTAAATTTGGTTTAATAGAACTGCAGAAAAGTGGATTTTTCTGAACCCACCTTGTTTTTGCACGGGTTCATAATTTTACGGAGCGTCATCAGCAAGTGAGCTGCTGCATCAATGGGGTGGCGTAAGAAAGCCAGTTAGAGATGGTTGAATTTCATGTAAAACATGAGGAAGCACATTTCTGAACCGGAAAATTACAGGGTTATTCGAAAATTAGTGGGCCTGAATTGCAGTGCATGAAAATGTTAAGTTACATTTGGTCAACTCGTGGGATGTATTGCTAAATCTGGTTCTGGTGTGTGAATTGCCCTCCATAATTCTTCTTTCACCAAGAAAAGTGATCAAAGCTGCTTTAACAGGATAATTTACAGTAAAGATGTTGTAGACTCAGCATATTTCTCAAAATGATACATCTCTGACGAAATTTCTTCAAAACTGGCTGGATAATGTGAAGACTTATGAACGATTCAGTCAGCAAATGAGAGTTCACGCTGACGATTTGGTTCACTTTTGTTCAGATGCGACTGACATTGACAGAAAGTTGGAATTTTTAAAACTCGTCCGTCCACCGCAATCAATTTGTGAAAACTGATATTGAAGTAAACACAGTCAATCCTGCGATGTTTCAGCTGATACATGTCTTTCCTTATGTGTTTTATGATTTTCACTTTTTTGCGATAAGCAATTTATGCAGTAGCTCACTTGCTGATGACACTCTGTGAAGTTTTGAACCCGCGCAGAGAGGAGGTGGGTTCAAAACAATCCTTTTTTTAAGAGTTCTTATAAATCAAATTTAAAAAATTGTAGCACATTAGAAAGATGAGAGTATTGGCTTTTCAACACTTTTTACAGATTTTCTCCATGAATCTTCGTTCAGGAGATGCTGAATAGGTATTCTCCATCAATCTTTGTTCAGGAGATATTGAATGGGTGAAATTACTTTACTGGGAATGTCTCCTAAAACTTCTTACGATGCCATGTGATGGGGAAGTTTTACCTTCGTTAAATGCATCGACCTCTAATAAATATAGTTTGTTCACAGAATCTCACAAAAAAAAACTTACTTTTGGAAAGTGTTTTAGTCTGGAAACTGCAGCACACTCTTGCAGCCTGGCACCAGCAGCAATCCAGACACTTTTCTCCGAGTCGGTCATTTGACACCATTTCTGATATAATTTCCAGGAGCTTCCATCTTCTGTGACATCAATTTAAATGTAAAATTCATTTACATTAATTACAGGTATGAGCATTTTAGTATACCTCAGGAATGGGAGGAGAAAATAAAACTATCTTAGAGGACCCCGCACACTCCTTATGGGGATGTGTGCCACGACCAATTTCCCATTATTTATTGCATTAGACTCGTTTATGGATTCTGATCAAAAGTCATCATTGCACCAACTTTCCATGAGCTACCGCTCTCGCACAATCTGCGGTTGAAGTTTCAATGATTCCTCGAATAAAAGAAGACAGCAACAAAGAGTCAAAAAGACTCCTCTTCTTTCGACACTCGAGAATAATATCGATAAAAACAAGGAAAATCCCAGTCGATGGAAGGTAAGCAAGATAGTGGGAGAGAGAGAGGAGCTAGTTTGGAAGGTCGAGTGAAAAGGTGTGCGGAATCAAAGATAAAACTGCCACTCCACAATGCACTGGGGTTTTTCTGATTTCCATGTTGAAACACAAGTGACCGTACTTGAGTGCTGAAATGAGGGATCTCTTTGACTCTTCGTCCCAGCACTGCCTCCTTTCAATCGAGGAATTATCAAAACTTTAAACGCGGGTTGTGCAAATCCAGTAGCATGTAGAAAGTTGGTGCAATGATGACTTTTGATTAGCATCCATAAACGAGTTTAATGCAATAAAAAAATGGGAAATTGATCACTGTACACATCCCCATTAGGAATGTGCGGAGTCTTTTACTGTAATGAATTAGATTTATATCAATTGGAATGTGTTGGGGGGACATAATTATGAGATGAAAGCAAAAAAACATTGATTCCACAGATCAAACACTTGAGTGAGTGCGTTTGTAGGACTCAGGTAGAAGTAAAGAGAGATTTTTATTACTTAATCCTTTCAACCTAATTTCCCTGGGGACCATTCCAGTATTACAGTAGTCTGGCACGAGCAGCATTTTTGTAGATTTTTCCCCACCCCAACCTACCATATTTGTCAGACCCTCTCTTCTCTTTTCAAACTCTTTGAGAGACATCTATAGGGCAGTCCTTGGTCCTACTGCCCTCTAGGGGCCTTACATAGTCCCACCTATAATAACGGCAGTGAGAGCTCAACCAGCTACCATATCTTAAGATGAAAGGTGCCACACTGCATGTGCCCAAAAGCCCAATAGAGTGAAAACAATAAAGGTTGTAGGTACACAGAGGAGGGAGGGGAGGCCATCCAAAATGTTCTCCAGGGGCAAGAGAAGGCAACTCAGCACGATTTAATTACCTCTACTGCACAGAGAATAGTGCTCATGCGTTCAATTTTTAGTATCACGACTCCCACTTGGCTGAATCGCCTATTTTTTGACATTGAGCTGATGTTGAATTTTGTGTCAACTCACTGGGGTTTCATCAAAATGTGCCCAGAGCCATTGAGCCCTTACGGATGTGCAAGGTTCTTTCTTACAGTCTCTAGGCTGCTTATGAGATGGAATCTAATGAAATCCCGGATATAACAAGAGGATTTCAGTTTCTCTTAAACTTCCATGAGAGTTAAACATTAAAAAAAAGTCCAAATTTAACAGGGATGAGTTTCAAAAACAACCAAGTAACTCATTATCCCGCCTTATCTTCACTCAAGTGAGATAAAATTAGTCTGATCTTACCTATTTGTGAGTTTTTCCAGATCAGGAAAGCCCACACTTGTGGTTTTGGTTCCTGAAACAATAGACAAGCAATATTCAAGGATAAATTAAACACTTTAAGCTGTAGGTGGAATTTGTGTTCAGAGGTTATCACATCTTAGCGAAGTTAAGAAAAATCTGAGAATGAATGCGATTGCACACCTAGAGCACTCCTCCATTTGTCAGAGTTTGTATTGTCCATCTTTGGCTTATAACCATTTCCTACTGAACAGGTAAGTAGGGTCAGAAAGCTTAACAAAAAATGAAGACTTAAAAAAGTCAAAATTAGAGGAAGTCAAAGTGAACAGCTCAACCATCGAACTATCCAAGAGATTACATTCAAGATTCATAAAATATTCAGAATTTTAGACATCAAAGGGAAACAAACTTAAGCAATTATAACTGGAAGATCTCTGCCTACGATTTTGACATGCTGTTTTTTGAGTTTCTTTCGAGTTGTGAGAGTTTAACAGGGTGGTATGAAAGGAGACGATTATTTATTAACTAAACTTGAAAAATAAAAACACACGGACAGTTACTCACTGTGATATTTGATTTTAGAGATGACGTTTCATTGCAAACTGCAGCGCTTTTATGAGCTTGGAACTCTTCTATGAAATGAAAAATTGTGTGACAATTTCCGCACACTAGAACATCTAATTTTCCTGCTTCAATGGCAGCATCTAAAACAAGATGAAATAATGTCTCATTAAAAGAAAGGAAAAGGAGAGCACAGGACTCATTACAAATGGTGGAAATTCAAGATTGAAGTTCGTGGAGCTACTGAAAGATTTAAAACACCAAGTTTTGTGGCTGGTGTCATTTTTTTTTTATTTTTTTTAGAAAATAGCAGTATGTACAAAAAAGAAGTTTTGAGCAAATATATCTACTTTTAAGTGGCTACGTAGGACATGATATTAAACAAATCCTCTATTTTTCATGAAATTATCAATAGTAAATGGTTACACTGACGCTTAGTGTATTTTTCAGACTTGTAGATACCCTGGCTGTTTTTCTGATGGTATTGCAGTATCAGAGCTCGTGTCTGAGTAAGATAATTCAAAATTGAATTTCGATTCTGCATCATTCAGCAGATTGCAGTACTTTTTAATACACACAGCACATAAGCCTGAGTTTAACAGAAACACATCAAGTTCCACTTTGAAATAAAATGAGTTGGAAGTCGTTAATTTGACAAGCTTAGTGAAGTTTCTCCTGTTAAAGTTTGAAGTCAAGTGTAGTCTAATGGATGAACAGAACCTGAACCCTCTTTTTTTCACTTTCAAACTTGATGCGACATGGCGCGTTTCTGTTATACATATACAATTGTTGCTCTTTTTCATATTAATGAAAAAAAATAATTTCATTCAACTAATTAGCGTTCCCACTTACAGAAGGAAGGAGAAATTAAACAAAAATTTGGCATGGTTATCACAGACCATCGGTGAGAGAATGGGTCACTAAACCTTGTTTATTTTATTGAATATTCTGAAAGTACAATGTGAGTAGATATCGTTATGATTTTTCCGCACTTTTATGGAGTCGAAATCGCAGAGAAAGCCGCTTTTGAAAAATCTAAAAACTGCAAGACATTTCAAACGCACCCGAATGGCGGGAAACTGACGGTGTTGACGCACTGCGATAGTCATATCGCAATCTTCTCTCATTTTCCTCTGATGTTTGTTAAAATAAAACGTGTTTCAATGTGGAATTGTTGCTCGTTTATTACAGCTAACATATGAATGAGATTTAAGTCTTGAATTCAAAAGATATAATTTCGACTTTAGTATTGTTTTCATATACGAAGAGTAGATAGACATTTGACGGAAGTCGTGGAAACCCGTGCCCACTTCTGATTGGTGCCAGATGACATCATTCGGCGCGGCGCAAAACCGGGGCGTTTTAAATTTGCGTATAAGTTAAGCGATTTGAACTGCGCATTTCTCAGTTATTGAGTTACTTGTTCGCATTTTTAATCTGCGCATCGTGTTCTACGCGTCATTTTCCTTCAAAAAACTATATTCGCAAGTCAAAATTTGTTCATGGTTTAGTGACCCATTCAAGCTAATTTGTGAATCCGTTACCTTTCATGTTGACTTCAATGGCTCCAGAGGAAGTATTTGTCTTAACTTCGTTATCTGTGATGCTGACTGTGCCTGAATTCGATTCAAACCTAACGCCAGTTCCACACATATTTTCTACAGGTATCTCTGCTTCATAAGTGTTGATATCAGAAGTCTTCTGGCAAATTTCTGTAACCAAAGATACATAAACGTTGATAGGAGAACAAATCGCAGGAAAATACACAGTATTACTTAATTGAGACATAACTGGTTCCAAGACAAAGGACCTTATCTTCTGTGAGAAATTTATTTCAAGAGAGGTGATACACAAGAAAAGTAGGTATGGATGAAATTAAGTTACAGGCAGGGAATACTCACCAGCCTTCTTAAAGACAAGTCAATGCATTCCCATCATCATGCAAGGTTTTGCCATTACTTTTTTTGGGAAGGGGGGGGGGGTATTGGGCATTTTTAACATCAGATTTAGCTCTTGTGACTGCAATGAAATTTGTCCATGACAAAACATTTTAGCCCTTAAGTTTTGATAATCTTCAACTTGGATAATTACTTATTAAGCTTATATTGTCAAATTTGCGCCTGAACATCTAAAATTTCTGTCAGTAAAACTGTCACAAATTCTGTTGAGTGGTTGGTTGACATTCTTCAAGAGTTTTAAGTACTACAGTGAAGTGCTGTTGGAAATTGCTTGTGGGTTTCTGTGTGACTTGAGGTTTGAAATATAGAAGCAGTTTGATGCCTCATTTTTTAAAATATATCTTAAGTATGTTTCAGAAGAATGAGGAGAAATGTGATGGGATGGACACCCTGTTCCATAATTTTGAAACTTTATTTACTCTTTGCTTTCCTGATGATCAATTAATGATGGCACTAGACCAAGATGATGCCAAAGCACTCGGTTGGAGAATGAGCAGTAGGTCAAAGACTGCGCCGAGTATGAGTACTTAAGTGGGTGGTTAACCTCTGATTGGCGGACAGGTTAACCCCTGGCAACACATTTCATAAAATCAGGAGAACTGATTGATAAAATTCTAAGCATCCCATATTTCGAGACTATCAGCAAGTATCTCTTTCCAATACTCGCATACTATGAATCACGTTTTTAAAATTAGAAAACAAATCAAAAAAGCTTACCTCCATTGGGATCTTTTGGTTCTCCTTCTGTGACTGATGTACTTTGAGGTGAATTTGTCATTTCCTCATTTACATTAGCATCATAAACAGTGGCCCTTGTACCATCTGTGGTATGAAAATCATTTTGATCACTTTGATTTACATCGGCAGTAATGTGATCATCGACATCTTTTTCATTGAAAGCAGTGTCACCATCTGTGGTGTTATCAATGGACTCTAAAGCTAAAACCATGTTTTCTTCATCTGGAGCAGTGCTAATTTCCTTTAGACTCTCAGATTTTCCTTCACGATCGATGTTCACCATTTCTTTCTCTGAAATTTCAGGTTCTTCTACAGAAGGCATACCAGTGTTTTCCTCGACTGCTAACTCTCTTTTTACAGAGTCACTTGATTCTTCAGGAGCCACACTAACTGAGCCTCCATCAGTGCTGGACAAGGGGACTTGCTCCAACTCACTCTCATTCCTAGTAATTAACCGATCGTGATTGTCACCTAGATTCAAATCGCATATGGAATTATTTGTTTCTTGGATATTGGTCTCTTCTTGTTGGATTGAGTTCTCTGTCAATTCAATTGCTGCTTCATCCGTTGAAATATCTGCAGTGTGTGTCTGTTCAACATCAGTTTCATTTTTCACTTCGATGTTGGCAACTGCTTCTTGTTTTGCTGCATCACTAGTAGATTCTTTCACTTCTGTTTGCCCCAACTTAAGACACGGAATTGCATTTCTTGACAGTACGGAGCGCAGACTATTTTTATAATTTCTGTGGGATACTATTTCTTTACGAATGCATCTTGCATTAAAATGTAATTCACAAACTTTAGAGTTAACTGTTATTGGCTGGCCATCATTGGTTATGATGTTTTCTTGCCACCTGGCAAAAAGCGCTTCATTATCTGGTGTATCAAATAAAGCTATGTTCTTCTTCAATGAAGTGGTTGTACATCCCTTCACAACGCACTTGTTATACACCATTCTGGGTTGACTGTGTTAGCTAGAGAAAAACAAGAGGGCACTAGATCAGCCAAACTTCAAAAGAACATTCATGAAAATTACCAGAATTGCCAGGTTAGTAATAATTAAAATTTTTTTTACTTTAAAAAAAATCTTAGACTTTTTTCACCTTTTTCAGAAATGTTTTGGCTGCACATGCCAAAACTGACTTTCCGAATGTTGTTAAATATTGAAAAATAACGGTTACATTGAATATTCAATTTCTTGGCGCATTCTTTTTTTAGATTAATGAAACATCTACATGCCGTTTGATAAAATAAATAACAAAATGTATTGATATCAAAATTCATGGGGATTTTTTGACTGAAGCGAGTTGGTCAGGATTAAATTTCGAACAATTTTCTTAAATATATTTGTTATTAATGCCTTTGATTAATATCTGTCATTTCTAAATAATAGTAAGGGTTGTAACTCGTCACCTTCCAGGCAAAGTATCACAAGCGCCATGCGACGTTTAAAAATTTCCGCCGCTATTTTATTTTTTTACTGAGAAATTGTTGGTTGAATCTGTTCGAAAATTTCACTAAATTTTATCGGCAGCACAAAGAAAATTCGGTGTAATTTTCGGACAGCTTCGTTGAACAATTTCTCTGTAAAAAAATATAATGGCGGCGGAAATTTTTAAACGTCGCATGGCGCTTGTGATACTTTGCCTGGAAGGTGACGAACTGTTATTGAAGAATATCAGTTAGACACATTCCTGTTCTATAGATAACAGCCAAAATCAAACGCTGACTGTGGTATCACGATGCCTCAACTTTGTGCAAGTAGCGCAAATTTCAGCAAGGAGACTCAGCAACCATCAGATAATGTCAGATTAGACTGAACTATTTGAATAAATTTGATACAAATCTGGATGAAAGTAACTCGAATTTGCAAAATTTCAGCCTTTGAGCAATGACTGTTGACTTCCGTGTTCAGCATAAGATTCTAGCAATAGATTGAAACGTTTCAAATCAGTTTAGGATTCATTTTTATAGCATGAACAATACAAGGAGTGCTATCATCAGTGCTAAATAGGAGAGATGTGTGCTCCGCGACTTATTACAACACACTTGATCAGGTAAGTATATGGATAATAACAAGACCAGCTGAAAAGAATTGGACTTCAGCTTCTTGCCGTACTTCAATTAAACGAAGTAAACAAAACAACAGAGTGAACAGTGGACATAGATACGTTATGATAAATTGGGAGAGTAAGTACCTTACCATAACCTGGCTGAGAGGCAAATCGGCTTGGGGAACGATCACGAAAAGTTTCGACCCGCAAAATTCACGAAACTTTATTAGCACACGATGTTGCAAATTGTCGAAGGAATCTAAACTGAATAGGCCATCAGAATTACGACTTCGATTTTCTCTTGACAGTGACAAAAAATAGAAGTCATTTGAAGAAGTTAGCTTCAAGATTCAAGAATACTTGCAAGATTCACTACATTACAATGGCAATAGGCATACATACATACGTAAAAGAACAAGCATGTAGTGGTAAAAGGTCGGTCGGAAACAAAAAGCCATCTGTCTATATATGACGTACGCGAATTTTTACTCGAAATGAGGGCAGCTACTTCCCCAAACGGTATTTCCCCAAACCAAANCAAGATTCACTACATTACAATGGCAATAGGCATACATACATACGTAAAAGAACAAGCATGTAGTGGTAAAAGGTCGGTCGGAAACAAAAAGCCATCTGTCTATATATGACGTACGCGAATTTTTACTCGACAGCGATCTATCGCAAATCTATCGAAATATGACGTCATCTGGCAGCTTTCGTTCGTGGTTTGTTGTTGTTTAGCTACACATTTGTGGACGTACCTTATCAATTTATTATCATTTCATTTTCGCTTATCAATCTTGTGCATAATGCATAATCCAATTCATTTCTATCCGTGGAAATTGTAATTGTTCAGATGCTTCAGACCAACTCTTGTCGTTTGTCACTACTATTTAGAATTCACAATTAAGTCTTTTTTGCTGGCCTTTTCTTTTGTATTTACATAACCTGAAGCAGCTCTCCAGATGTTGTCTCACGTAACTCTCATGATCATGAAGTTGAAAACTCATGACCTCACCAGGGTTTGAATTTATTTCGGCCTTATCAGTAAGCAAATACGCTATTTGAAAATGTCCAATAGGAAAAGCACAGAAGACAGGACTGGTAAAGGAGCCGCTCCTTCTTTGAATCAGTATTTCGAAAATGATCCAGTTCCTGTGTATTCCAACATTTTTGATCAATTATCAAATAACGCCTCAGCCATGATGAGCAGTGTAATAGACAGCAGCTCTCAGAACATGAATCGTGAGCCAGTTGTAACACCAGACCTTTCTACCTTGAAATTAGATGATCAATCATCGTTGAAAAGCAAACCGTCCGAAGTAATTGCATCCTCCGCACTCAACTTACAGAAGGACAAAAGCAAAGAAGAACCTGTCATCTGCCGCATTTTCTCATCATCATCAAGTGATTCTGCCACTAGTGAAAGTAAGAATTTTGCAACGGGTACAGCTTTCTTTGACATGCTAAGCTCTGACTCTCCGCCCACGCCTCAGTTCGAAGAGGAATTACCAAGTCCTGCAGGAAGAGAGTCAGCCAACAACCCACGACTGATGCTCTCGACATCAGATTTTATGCACCCGGATGGTAAGACTTTTGACTCCCATCCAAAAAATCTATCTATTTCCCAGTAGGTAACAAAGTCTACAGGCTTGGTGCCTTTACTTGAAAAAATACATACAAACAGTGTCAAATCCACACCATTGTTGACATCAATGCAATTCTTATGTCATTAAACATTCCAGGCTCCTAATCTTTTTCTACTCCGAAAACTACCCAAATGTCACAATGGTGAAAAATTTTTCTTGAGAATCAGTTTTCGTGTATTTTTTAGCATCAGTGTGCTACTTATAAATTTTTCATCAGTGGCTTGGAGCAGTACATGTAATGGGAGGAAAATTTTTATAAATACCTGAGGATCCGCAGTAATTCTTAGTCTGCAATTTAATGACTTTTTGGCTGTAAGGATGAATGAGGTTTACAATGGTGTTTAAATTGTTCGATTTTGTCACCTCCTGGCCAAAGTATCACAGGTGCCACTTTTACTGAAATTGCGTTATGAATAGTTTCGAATTAACAAGATGCATTTACATACAAAAATAATAATTTTTTTCAGAAGAAGAATGTAGAAATATGATTAACAATTGATAGAAATTTATGTACTTTTGTACCATAAGTGCCATTTGGGAGAGAAGTATCACAAACGCCAAGTTTGTCAACCGTCCACCCTGATTGTTCACAATATTTGTTACAGTAACCCTGGCAATGACTTGAAGCTAAATTATTTGTATGTAAATTCATCTCATTATTTTAAAAATAATATTTCTTTTTTTTGGAATAAAAATAAATAAATATGGAAAATACTCCACTGAAGTTGATAAACTTCGGTACCTTAAGCGCCGTTGGGTAATTGCTCATCATTGGGATTGTTTTTACGGTTTTAATATCAACAGTGCTTGGAATAACCTGGAGCAATTCCCCACTTTCCAGTCAGAGTATCACAGGCGCTATTTTTATCGAAATCGAGTAATGGGTGGTTTTAAATTAATAAGCTACATTTACGTATGAGAATAGTAATTTTTTTTAAGATTAAATATTAATTAATATGGAAAAAATTCTGTTAAATTTCATGAGCTCCCGTATCACAAGCATCAGGGGTTCTCAGAATGCCCCGAGAACGCGGTATCACAAGCACCAATTTTTGCAAAGAAATTTTTCTTTTGAAAATTTATTAAAATTCAAGGCAGGAAGGTATGCAGGATCAGTATTCCAAGTTTCAAGCCAAAACTCTGTCTTATGCGGTTGCAAATCACTTGTTTATGTTTCCTGAAAAGTTGGCAAATTGGCACTTGTGATACTTTGGCCGGAAGGTGACAATATCTCATAGTAGGTATTTGCAGCAAATGAAATTTACTCACAGTTAACTTACTTCTGTATACTAATGAGGAAAGCTTTGGAGCAGATTAGGCGAAAAAAAAAACTGACCTATGGATAGGATACTTGTAATTAAAGAACTATGTTCCGCAACCCTAGCAGCATTGTGAGCCTCTTACGCCCTTCTACCAAAGAAGTCTGCAATTGACAATTCACTAGCAGCCCTCAGAAGCATTGACTTAGTTCATAAGTAATTGCACTTCATAAACAGTCTGACTCTTTTCTTATGTACTTAATTTCGAAATGAAATGTCATCTGAATTCTTTGAGGGAATCCACCAAGCATTTCTGCTCTCTTTTTAAAATATTCTGTAGTTGAGCAATCATTTTTCAAAAAGAACAGCCCATCTGGCCCTGTTGGGAGGTGTATGAAAAGAACGCTTTTTTTTCTAACATTGACAATGAGTGGATTTTTTAATTCCAGTACTATCTGTTTCAGGTTCATTTTTGGGATCCACTTCCAAGATGAGTGCACCATTTTGTGAAACTGATGGAATAAGCGATGAGCTTTTTATCACAAGTGGGTCTCATTCAACACCTGGAGGGACTGGAGAGGCTGATCGAAGAAGGGATGCATGGATCCCATCGAATCGCACGAGATTAGCCTTGATCACTGCTGCCACATCTCCCTCAGGAATTCATTCGTCAGACAGAGATTTACTCACAATGCCGGGAGTTGTTTTAGAGGAAGACCTCGTACGTTTGTCGAGCATTTAATCGTAATTAGTTTAATGCTAAGAGAAAATAAGAACCTTCATTTAATAGGAGAAGTGCAAGACCAACTGATCTTCCTTTGCCGTTTTTTTAGCCAGCCAGACTCCCGACAACCACCTTTTCATGCCTCATATAGAAAAAAAAATGGGAAATCGGAACCATATATTTTTTCAAATTCACTGGATTTCTCAGCAAAAATATGTTCACAGCTGACTTTTCTGGGATTTGGTGTTTCTATCAATGTACCTATCTGTAATATGACCCCTTTATTAAAAAAAAAAAAAAAAAAAAAAAAAAAAAAAAAAAAATCTTAATTTTTGAAATATCAATTTTCCTCCACTCTGGTGGATGTTTTTGACAGAGAGAGCAGACAGAACATTCAAAACATTGGCCGTATGGAAGACAATAATTGAAATTTCAAAAAATTGTGGAATAAGCGGAACAAATTACACCTTAATCGATGAGAACACCAAATCCCAGTAAGCAGGATTTTTTCACCCCATGAAACACCAAATCCTGAAGAGGGCGAGCCATGGACATATTTTGGCTGAAAAATTGGCTGAATTAAAAAAAACACTGTATGATCTTGACTTTTCATGTCGTCAGATTCTGGGAGTCTTTGTAATCAAGGCTAATCAAACATGTTGGATAGCAAGGATTTTCAAGGTATGTTTACCTATGCTGCAAGGCAAAGTTTCTGGTTCAGACGTCTGCCTTTCCTTTAAAGTCGCAAGCTTTTTTGAAAAACTGGGAATCTCCTTATGCTGTACATAATAGTAATGGTATTTTTTCTACAATCAGTCTCCGGTCATATCATAGGAAGTAGACCGGGTCAGCTCCTGTTAGAAAAGTACAAAGTGTAAGTGTATCCTTCTAAAGTTTTTTTCAGAAGAATGTACGGTCCCGTGGCTTTGGTTTTTTTTAAATTGATGTAGAGTTGTTGGATGCACAAGCTGTTGCGAGTTTTTGTTTTGTGATCGATGCAGTCAGTGTTCCTCATTGTCAAATCTGCAGTGCCTTTTTTTACCACTCAGTCACCACACACTCAGTGTGGAGGTGTTGGTTATTTTTTGAAAGCAGAATTTTTTAAAAGACGCATCATGAAGCATTTTCATCATTCCCACTCAAGTCTCAGGAAGAATATGAGAACTCTCAAGAGAAAGAAGGGAGGGAGAAAATGTTGAAACTGACCAATTTTTCAGCACATTTTTTAGCCCTCTGTATTCTTTCATATTCTTGTCATTACAGGTCGATAATGTTGGTCATGTTGTGAATCTCTGTTTGGGAGAAAATGAGGCTATGCAGCGTAAAGTTCTAACTGTGAATGATGTTACACAAGATGAAAGGGGTCTTCGAGAGCTCATTCAAGTAAGGATCTTTCCACTTTTTTTCTAATTCCTACATGTCTCTCAATCATGAAGTGATGTTTTTATCTTTTAATTTCCATGTTGATAGAGCACAATTATCCAGATATTTATACAATTCCTGCCAAAGTTTCTTGTATGCACCTCCCAAAGTTCCTACAGGAGCTTGACACAACACCAACATGAAGTATAGTGTTTTAATCTCAAGCATACTTTAAGCCTGTTGTGTCACTATATCTCCATGTGTAACTTGTATCTTCATGCTTCCGCTTGAGTGCGGTTCTAAAAGAGAACGTAACTAAAGTGCATCCCAAATAGAGGCTTATTATTGATCAATCAATCATACGAAGTAAGATGCCTTTCCACTTCCTGAAGCGCTAAGTGTAATGAGGATGGCAAAAAAGGACAAATATCTAAAAATGTCCTAAATCTTAATATCTATAATCAAGATCACATAACGATGGTGTAACTGCAGAAATGCGTTCATTGGTTGTGGTATTTCAAAATCTCCGTTCCTATTTTCTTATTTAAAAGGAGAATAAGCATAAATCATGCTTCGAATTTTCACAGAAAATGCTTCACACAGGCGCCTAGAGAAGAAAATTCACCAGAGTTTTCAAGAGTTTTAAGATCATGATCTTTAGTAGTTTTTGATGTAGAAAATAAAATATGACAGGAATTTTGCATTGCTTCAAAATTCCTGATATGCTGAAATTGCTGATATGCACTTCTACAATTTCACCATCAATAAGTTTTGTAACTTATACTCTTCAGCTACCTAAGACTGTTTTTGGATCGTACCGCATCTTTTTTTTAACTCGCAGTCGTTCAAATTAAGAGTGGCGACTGAGAATGTGTTTTCATTTAATTTCAGGCTGAGTGTTACAAAGCTGCGATAAATTTGACCGGACGCCTGCTCACAATTTATGGTCAGGGAATTCGTGGATCTAGTCATCCGAGTAAATTGCACACAGTTCATTCTACTCAGGTAGTGGCTTTATGTTCCAAGTAGCTTTTCTAAAATGAAATAAATTGTTAGTAAAGACTTTCTGTTTCCCCTCCATTTGAATATTGTTATACTTAACCATTAAATTTTCCTAAATTTAAATTAAAATTCTGTGATACCTTTGCCGGCATCTAAAACATAAACAGTAATATACAATCGTAGGTGTTTTCTTAGGGTAAGGAAGTGTTATTGATTAGCTTTATTCCACTTTCCTATTGACCAAAGTGTCTGCTGAATTTAGGAATGTCTAAAATCAACTAAGGAGTAGATTTTCAGCACTTAGAGTTGGTGTAAGAATCAGTCAATTCAGATTTTGTGTTTGCAAATGAAACAGAAATGCACTAAGGTCCAATTGATCCTTGAAAATAATTTACCGGTTTGGATAATAACTTGCACCCGGTATCCTATAAATGTTCTTCCCCTTTCAATATAAGGCAAATGCTTTGGAAAAAGAAGTTCAGCACAGTAAGAAAATAATTTTATTTGAAAGCATACTGAAATTAATCAAATGAAATTTGAAACTGTAACTAAAATTTGTCTCGAAAATTATGTAATTAATAAAATGAAGTTAGGTACTGAAATTTGTCGGCCTCCCACTGGAAATTCGGGTCACCTGGCCGGGAATCGAACCCGGGACCAAAGGCAAGCGCTACAACCACTACATCATGCAGTGGTTGTAGCGCTTGCTTTTGGTCCCGGGTTTGATTCCCTGCCAGGTGACCCAAACTTGATGGTCTCAAAGAACGGTTATCTGGGGCTGGCTTGATTAGGAACGGAGAGGGATGGGACTTTAAGGACAGTATTTTATCGCATAGGATGTTTGAAGTGTACAAAAATGCTCAATTTTTTTAAAGTAAGCAACTACCTAGACTTCTCAGGGTTGCCACAGTGGAGGGATACTAGGAACCCGGGAAATGTCAGGGAAAAATTGTCCTGTCTCTATTTCCTTTCTAGAATGGGTTCGACGTTTCAAACAATAAATTTTGCCTGAAAACTATTTCAAATCATGTCTTTTTAGGCATCTGGCATATCTTTAATTGTCAGGGAATTTTACTACAAGGTAATAGAAAAATCAGAGAATTTAATTTTCTAAATTCTGTGGCAACCCTGACTTCTATTCAATAGCGAACCGAAATTTGATTTCACTTAAAACATTAAGTACACACTAATTATTTATTCGTGCTTTGAATTTCTAAATTTTATTAAGTCCACCTTGTTTTATGTACGTCAATAACTGAAGTCTGAACACCCATAACTCAAATATAGTTTTTCAAAATCTCTGTTTACATATTTTAATTTTCCGAAAGAAAAACTACCTACTCAATGAATAAAATTACTCTAAATTTTAACAGATTATTTATCATAGGGTAAAAAGAAATAAAACATTTTAAGAAATACATAGGCTGTTCAAAATGTGGTGAAAAAAATGCCACAACTTCAAAAGTAAGCCAGGTAAGGGCTTTTTCTCGGTCTCATTTGAAAGGCAGGCTCGATAATTTTCTAATGAGACCAAGATCAACTCATTTGGTCGAAAATCAAATAAGTTGAAGCCTAAAACAACTTGACAACCCTAAGAACTTCTTTACAGCATTTTACCGAAGTGATCATCCGACTAGAAGACGCAAAGAAGGACTAGCTTGGTCAACAGATCGCACCCCAAGGATCGAGAAAATCTGGCCAGTATTTTGGCGAACGACGTGTATGAAGACAATAATTTGGTAAAAGAACATCAAATAGCAAGTCAAAGCGGAGCAAAAACCACTCAGTATAACTGTGAGGTACCGGTGTGCATGGAAGGGTCGTCTCGCACCAGTCATATTTTCCCGATTTTCGGAGTCCTATCTGACGACCAGGTTAGTCGTTGTTTTGATCTGCGGGTCCTCTAGTCGGATGACGGTTATGATAAAATGTTCTTAAGTGATTCTTAGGGTTACCAAGCTGTTTTAGATGCAACATTGCATCGTACGATAGATGTAGAGACCCATTGTGGCGAGGAAAAATCCTTGTTAAAAGTCGCAGATGACAACGGGACACTCGCTTTTCAAGCCTCCATAACTTTTTTAATTTTCTATCAAAGAAGTTTATCTTAGTCTCATCAGAAAGTCATTAGGCCTGTCTTTCTAATAAGACCAAGAAAAAGCCATTACCTAGTGTACCTACTTTTGAAATTATAGCATTTGTGTCTCCACACTCCGAATGTTCTTTTTAAAAGATCCAATGAGAGCAAAATTATGAGAGGTACGAGTTTTCAGTAATTCGACATTAATGTGTATGTTCAGCTGTGGATGTAGAAAGCTTCTCAGAGCAATATGCAGTCACCATCTCAGCTTCAGGAGTTTCTTACTCTTGGTAAAGTTCCTCACAATGCAAAAACGTCAAAAGCGCATGTTAAGTGAAAAATTTCGAAAATCAGCTCTTCCTGGTTTTTCCCTCGTTTCTTGCCCAGAAAAGAAAGAAAGAAGAGAAACTTTTTTTCTTTCTTAATTTCTAACCTCCTGGTCCGGTATGATGTTTATTGATCTTTCACCAGGATATTCGGTTTATGTTTCAGCTATGGTTCACGAGATTTACCCTCCTTGTCAAATTGCAGCAGTTTTCCTTGGCTTGGGATGAAGCAGAACCATGGCGAGATTTGGATCAACCTGACCTTTACTTTCAGTTCTACCCTGAATTATACGGTGGTCGAATCGGATCAATGGTTCCCTTTTCTATGCGCCTTCTCCTGGCAGAACTACCTCAGTACGTGAAAAAACCTGAAATAGCTATGGAACGTTTGCATTCGATTCTAGCAATAGTAAGGCAAATGCTCAGCAATTTAAGCTCAAATCGAAGTGAGGATGGAAGTCAGCTTGAACTTTCTCAAAATGATAGAATGGAATCTAAAAAATTTTGGGCAGCACGTGAAACCCGGATATTGCATTCTATCACAAACTGCGCTCTATATCAGCGTGAATACAGCTTAGCCATTCAGATTGTAGAGCAATTATTATTGAAACCACGGTTTGAGCCTTCGCTCCTTGTAAAACGATCTTTATACTCTGCCCTAGGTAGGATTTATCTACAGCTTGGTGATTTAGCAGGTGCAGAAAAATATTTTTCCTACTCCAAAAAAATTAAGGAAATCTACCAAAAGGATAACCCGAATCATCAAGATATCCGTGAGTTAGTCGATTATGGTCTTTTGGCGCTTGCTAATAATTCTTTGCAAGCAGCATATGAACACTTTCGGAAAGTATCCATCATTGACCCTTCTAATATAATGGTACTAAATAATATAGCTGTTTGTTTGCTAAATATGGGCAGGCTAAAAGAAGCTTATAAATTGTTGGAAGATACTGTTAATAGTAACCCCGTTCTAGGATTAAATGAAAAAGTCTTGTTAAATATTTGTACGCTTTATGATTTAGAATGTTTAAACACTAGTAAATTCAATCTTTTGAAGTTAATTAGTAAATATAAAGGTGACTCGGTTAACATTTCTTGTTTAAATTTAGGACCTAATATTTGACAGTTGTCAAAATGAGTCTAGAAGGCATTTAATATTTATTATTTTTCTTTCCTTTGCGATTAACTTCACCTTTCAACCAATCCAGCTGCCATGGTGGTAGAAAATTTTCATGGAGAGGGTGAATTTTATGGAGAGGACAACAACAAGTTGGTAACTTGAATGATAAGATTATATATGTACATGTAGTGACCAAAAAAGTGGTTATATTTATACAGCCCATCAAGATAATGATGTTGCAATCACTTTTTATGATTTGTTTTTTGTTAGATAAAATCTTAAGTGAAACAATAAGGACTGAAAAATAAACATTTTATCGGAAAATAAATCATTAGAAATGTTTCAACAAGTGAGAGACTGTCATTGTGATGTCTTATGTCTTGTGATGCTTATCATTATACTTTTATTTGTTTTTTCATTTTAATTTGTTTTGTCATTTTGCTCATTCTTACCTAAGTACTCTGTTAAGGTAAATTTCTTTCAACTGTTCCGTGAAAGTAATAAGGTTAATGCAATATTTTGGAGTGCCAAAAAGTTTTACTCTGATGGTGATTTTCCCCTTTTTTATTCTTGTCAGCTGAGAGAACTTCTATCGTTTAATTTTTGAACATCACGAAAACAAATTATTTTCTTCTCTCAGCTAAGTATATTTTGTTAGTAAATTCTATTTCGCTTGGTTCAAGTCTTCTGAATTTTAATTTAAGTTTGTTGATGTGATGAGGCCATTGCACAATTTTCTTTAAAATTCACTATCTGAAAAAGAAAAAATGAGAATGCGTGCATGTTTCCGTTATTCATTTAGATAAATTTAGCCAAGGATTAGAATTCCAGTCGCCGAAAATACAACCCTGCTTCAAAGGGAGAACTAACTATCAGGCCAACAGATTTTGAGACATCACAAGAAGAATTGACAAAAGTCAATACTTTCCCCTGCATTTGTTTATTTACTTTCATGTCGCAGTTGTAACAAGAAGTTATGTATCTTGACCATGCTCAGAATCTTATCATTGTTTGAAATGAACAATTGTGTCATTTTTAAAAGCAGCTTGGACCTTTCTAAAGCTTGGAAACTTGTTTCTCATTAAAATTGATGTCAGAAACACCCATGAAGCAGAATTTCAAGATGATTGTGATAAATAAGCTATGTATGTTCAATTTATTGCCTTTTTATTGCTATGAAACTTCTACTAAACAGTAATTTTAATCTACATGTGTAATACTAACTTGCTACACATAATTATATTTGATTTTTGAATACAAGACAGCTATTTAATTTCAATGTGTATATTGCTATGAGATAGCTATTTTTGACAACTAGTTTTGACTCCTTTCATTACCCAATTTTTGAATTTTTAATAGCTTCCCCAGGGAGCAGTGATACCATGTGACCTATGTGTAACAAATTATGCCTACGCTGTGATATCTTTTTCAAAGCTGAAATCGCAAAAACGTGCAAACTTTTTAGACGGAGTGTAATGTTCTGAATGGTTTTCCAACTTTCTCAAACGTGCAGCATGACTTTAAAGTCATCTACCCTAGGAAACAACTCTTCTTTTAGTTAGTTCTAACTAAAAGAGGAGCCCATTCTGTGAAAAATATCTACCTCATGTAAGCGATTGGGAAGTTGACCATTTTTGCAGAAATACAAATTCTCTCAAGACCTTTTCAATTCTAGTATGCCGTAATACTGCGTTTAAATAACAAAATATGGGCAGATCTCACTGCAGACGGGAATCTATCCTCTGGGAGAAAATTTACCTCAAAACTTTTCAAAACTGAAACCACCTTCTTCTACAACCTAATAATTTTTATCCTGGAACTTCAAGACTCATATTTCCCTCCATAGTTGAACTTTCAGGGTCAAACTTGCTCCAAAATTTCCTGATATCTTCCTCCATGCATTTGAAAAAAAGAATCGAAAATATTCTCCCAGAAAATGAGGTCTCTTTTTATAGATCTGGTCACAGATAAATTTTTGAGATTGAACCGAATCCTGGCCAGACGTCGGGTTCAAACATTCTGAGAAGATTTGCTCAGCCTTACAAAACATGAAGTATTAAAACTGGTCACAGTTTGTGATATGGTAGTAGCTTTTTCTTCTCTTGAATCCACAGGAGCACTTGATGTTTTCAACCAGGAAAATAAAAATTCGCAGATTTCCATAAGTAATGAATGGACTTTGGAAGTCCATGTTGAGGGAAATATCTGGTGAACTACTGCAGAAATGATAAAAGAAGACACTAGAACTACTGAAACTCATTACTATTTCACTTTTTAGATGGAAATTTTTATGAGATAAATAATATCACGACAACCTCAAACATATGAAACATTTTATTTTGATATTTACTGTTCAGTTTGAAGCCAACATGAAATATCATATATTTACAGGTCATAAATGGGGGAAAAACAAAAGCCAAATGCTGTTGATAGCTTTTAAGATTAATTTAAATTTTCCGTTTCAACTAAAATCAAACACATGACATGGCTACTCTTAAAAATCAGAGGTAAGGTGCGAGTGAAAGCTGTTAATTGCCAATCAATTATTCTTTTTATTGCATGGATTTCTTGCAGGAAAGAGTGGATGTATTGCTCTGTTTCCAGTTGTTAGTGTACGATTTAATTGTGAAGTAATTTTTGAGGATTTCATTTATTTGCTTTAACACTGCTAGAATTTTTCACAGATTCACAGAAATTCATTGAAAGGATGTGGTACATCATTATGAAACCAAGAACTTAATGGACTTGCACCTGTTGACAAGCAGCTTATTCAACAAGGAGTCAGACTAAACCAAGAAACACAAATAGTTGAAAAAATCCGAGCAAAATTTACTCTTACTCTGGATGCCTACTGATGAAAATAGTCAAATATTAATAGAAACCAGCTAACTCTTCCTCCGTTGGCTTTCCGTATTTCTTGTCGTACCATTCGATGTATTCCTTCTTCCTCTGCTCGCGACGAGCAAAGTACTCAGGATACATTGCTTTTTCAAGTGGATGCCAATAATCAAGGACCGCATCAGGATAGTGAAGATATCTCTCATAACCAATTCCTTTAGGAGAATCAAACCCTGAAAAAAGTCAGATATTATGATAAAAGGTGTTGATACAAAGAATGCTGAATTGGATGTATTCATACACTGTAAGTATATCTATATAAGGACATTCGGACTGCATTTTGCAATTTGAACCTATAAATTCTGGCTTATCTGAAAAAACACTTATGTGCATTGGGAACAAACGTTGTTTTTAAGCTGGGCTGGAATTTACAGTTCCGAATTGTAAAATGTAGTCCATTTGAAAGACTTCTGGAAAACTTGATAGACTGGATCTTTCGCCAGTGCAATTAGTGGCGGCGGTTGTCAGGAAAATATTAGGACGATTACGACGTTGGGAAACACGGAATTGAATGAATTTTCAATCAACATAAAGTAAAGACGACGCAGGGCGACCAGTTTTTCTCTTGTACTTGGATCCACGGAAGCCAAGTAACTCTTTAAATGTAGACACTCGACTGTAAGTGCCAGTTCCAAATCAGTGCAGTTTTGCTGTAACTTGACAGCACGTGTAGTTGTATCAGTGGCTGCCATTTCGGTTAAATTGAAGAGAAAACTGAACTTTTCGGTAAATTCTTTGTATGGGGTGATTCGTTTTCCTAACTGTTGCTTTAAAGTTTCGAGGATGAGGTTGAAGCTCTCTGATAGCCTTTTCGTCGATCTCAAACTTTCAGGCTGCATTTCCGGATTCTCGATCAGTGGCTCATCTGGCATGGTCTGTGCCTCTGAGGGCGAGGATTCCAATTTGTCAAAGAATTTTTTTTTCTGCTTACTCATTTCGGTCTTGGTCGGTCAGGGCTAACCAAAATTTCTGGTGCTTGTGCATCTTTATTACTCATACTTAAGTGCATTCAAGCTGAATAATTTTTCCTCAGTCAGAATTTTATAACGTTTGAAGCATGGTGCAATTTCATCAATAAAATTAATGAGAGAAGTGTATAGATTTGACGTCGTAGAGACGTCCATGTCATTGCACTGAAGTTTGATGCTTATGGCGTTAAATCTGTTTAAAACGTCACACCAGAGAACAGTCATAAAAGCAATGTTGAAAGAAAGGAGTTAGTTTTGAAGTACTTTTGCTCTGGAGGCAGGCTTGCTCGTTTGATTTGGGTCATCTATAATTGACGTAAGAGATGTAAGCCCGCCAGTCGGCGTAGCGCTGCGCTGCCGTGCCGAGGGCTTCTCTCTTCTCCTTCCCCTCTAAAGTCATTCTCATAATTGCTCACTGCGCCGCGCCACTCCAGGTTACGCCAAATTGCACCTTTGGTTTCTCTCTTACACCCGGATCATGAAAGCTGCCACCTTTTGTATGCATCAGTGCACCACCGAAAGACAACATAATTAGAAATTACTACATTTTTACTCTCAGTAAATAAAGTTTTTGCCGCTTTTTCTCGTTTGTTTTTTTTTTTTTTTCATCATCCATATGTTGAAAAAATTGCAAAATTTGCCGCCATGGGCCTTGTCCCATGTGCCCTCCCCCCCTTTAATCCAGCCCTGGACATACCTGCCGAAATAAATTTTCTACTTGATTGAGTGCATAGAGTGTACATTTCTTGATGATGACTCATGTCTTTTGAGCATTAAGGCAACTTTCAGTAAGAATCTTGTAACTCTCAAGCTCAAGATGGATTATTTTGTGGCACGTCTCTAAATTTTGCACGATATTTTTATTTTCATTCATAGGTGCTACTTAAGGGTGTGAGATGAAAGTAAAGTTAAAATGTGTTTTAAGATCTAATCTCTTTCAATTCTTACGGAGTAGATGAAGAATGACTCGCAAAAATGACTGAATTGGCTGCAACCATCAAAAAAATTCAGGAAGGAAAAAAAAACAACTTACAGATTATAGGTATAGGATGCGCATATTCATGTAGTTCAGCTTCCGCGTCTTTCACAAGCTGCTTGGCTTTTACAGGATCTGCGACATTCTTGTTTTCATCAAATCTTGCTCTCATCAGAACTTGCGCATATCTAGTATGGTGCCTGAAAGAGTGAGGAGGGGACTATAGAGATTCCCGTGTAAAGGATCCTCATTTGATTGTTCTAAAATTGACAAGTACCTAGGTGCCCTTGATGAATAGGCTTTGGTATGTTAGCCTCTAAATTTCTCACAGGGTGACATATCTCTTTCGTGGCTACCTTCAATGACACATAAAATGGTAAAATTTGATTTTCATCACTGAATGAAAAATTTGAACACAGATTTGCTTCGCACCCAGCCCTAGATGTCAAATCTAGATTGACCCCTACACAGAGTAAGTAAGTCCTCTCTAATATTGGATGAAGAATCAGCTGCAAACGGTTTTACTGGTAGTGAGGACGGTAGAATGGACAGGCCTCATAACTAAATAATTCACCAGAAGATGTGGTTTCCGTATCATTGGTTTACACTACTTAGATGGTCATGACTGTGCTACTTGGTAATACTATAATTGCGCTTGGATTCGAGCTGAAAGCAGTTTGATACTCATAATACTTTGTAAGATGGAAGAATTTGAATTAGAGATAAAATAATTGATGGCCAAAAATCTGGAAAAGTACTTTATTTCTATCAGCTGAATTGAAGCACATGAGAAATATGACTGGTCTTGGATAACAGGTATAAAGAATCGATTCACTTACGGTTCCATATAGTGGTGCTCCTCACAATGTCTCATTGCTCTTTTGAAGAGGCTGAGTACAATCTGCTTGTGAGTGAGTACTTTGTAAGGTACGGTTTTCACAACCATTTTAATTAAAGACAAAAACTTTACTTGATTTATATCACCACTCTGAGACTGAAACTGACATGTACAAAATAGTACTTAGTGCTATCAGTATCAGTCCAGTCACAGTGGTCACAGTCTCACTGGCATAGAATAATAAAGCTAACGCCTATAGAAGAGTCACTCGCGTAAGTGGCCGTTGTGACTCTCGCCTGCTGTGTCCAGGTTTGGTTAGGTCCGTCATTAGGACGTCATTGGTTCGTTATCGATGAATGATTTTGTCAACATTGATGAGCGGTGCAGTTCCGGATTTCTAGGTTGTTGCGTTGTTGCAAGTTGTTGTGTGGTTGTTGACATTTGTGATTGCACAAAGAAGAGCCATTAGTTAGTTCTAATCATACCTGGCCATTGGAGAATACGTGTGAGAGTGTGTGAGTAATAGCTCCCGACGTAGACATAGCGGCCATAGCGCTAACGGTCGTTTCTTTCGAGCTCCAAGAGATACTCTTATATTCAGCTTCTTTATCTCTACCCATTCTAAATTTTTCTTGTATGGAATGTAACAAAATGTGTTACAAAATAAAATTTCTACCTTTAAATCATAAGAGTTGAAGTGGTCCCCCCCCCCCTCCTTCAAATAAATACTAACTTGCACCGAAATAAGGTGAAAAAACCAATTTTTCTCAAAGGGGCATGTATTCAGGAGTCTATTTTACTCGCTACTTTGCGGTTGGGACCTAAACTAGCATCACCTAGCGTCAGGAAGACATCTCGCTTCACGAACCAAATCTTCTGGATGATCACGTGCCTTGTATTCCCCATATGACTTCACTACCATTATTAAATATTTTTTTTCTTCCATTAAAACGCAATTCGGTCGCATATATTTAGCTCAAACGGTCTACCTTGCTTAGAGCCTTCGTAACAAATTTTTTTCCCCGCATTCAAGCACTTTTTATGTAAAAAGAATCAATTTTTGTAAGTTCGCCCTATACAATCCCGTGTATTCTCGGGAGTTACGAACATTTAACCTCAAACCCATGGCCAGGTATGATTAGATGGTTAGTTGCATTTAATTTCGTGCAAGATCGCTGAATATTTTCTATTGCTGTTAAAGATTTTGATTCTGATACTTTGCCCAGTCATAGTCAAAATGGGGAAAGGCTTCAACAATTACATGTGTAAAAAGTTCTTCCATCCTGCCTCCCGAGAAAACCTGAAAAGGGTAAGTTTTCCTCCAACTTTTAAGTTTTTTTTCTCGGTCAGTTCTCGAACTGACTGTCTCTTTAAACTAGACCGTCAAAACTGACTCGGTATTGTCGTTCTCGTGGAGTCGTGAAAAAAGAGCTCTAGCCACTCTAAATTTTTGTGTCCGTGGTTTTTCTTTTAAATTCATGTTATTCAATGTTTTTGTAGAGTTATTTGTGAAGGTAAAGTTTCCAGGGGCAGAGGGTGAAAAATGGGCGTTCTTTTACGAAGCGACAGGTCACAAATGACCCATGTTTGGCAGATTAGGGTTAAATGATAACAGCTTATGGTGCAGGGTCCCCATATACATCGGAGCAGTCTAGCATCCTCCTAAAGTGCATTTAAGAATGCGGCAAAATTCACTTTTCTCACATTGCCTCATTAAAAATCCAGTTTTAAAAGTTCACTGTGCGTGAATAACATCATACCTAGGTATCAAACCATTCAGCAGGGGTTTTCTCAGATTGCATGCAGCGTTCTTACAAGAGGGTAGGAAAGGTGTTAATGTTGCTCACGTAAATTCTATTTATCTTTTTCAGGTTTGGATGGCAGAACAAAAAGCTGATGCCTATAAGAAGAAGCAGGAGGAGCTACGTGTTCAGTATGAAAAAGAACAGGATCTATACAACAACAAGTAAGTTTCTTGCATTTATCAATGGGTGACGTATAGTTTTAGTAAGGATTTTAGCTTTGGTTTAGTTTTCGCCTTTCAGTAGGTATGAAAAAGAACAGGATCTATTCAACAACAAGTAAGTTTCTTGCATTTATCAACGGGTGATAAAGAGTTTCAGTAAGGATTTTATTTTTGGTATAGTTTTCACCTTTGTCAATCACCTGATGATCGCCATAAATTAGCTGAAATCGCCATTGTGTTACAGTTTTGTGAAGACAAGAAGAATTATTGGGCAAAAAAGGAGAGGAAAAGATAATCAACAAGGGAGAACCGGGTAAAGAGAGACCAGGGTAATGGGAGACTTTTGCTCCTGCTGCTACCTATTTGATATTTAAGTTATGAAACAAGAAGGAATGGACTCTTTGTCCATTTCTACGCTCTTGTACAAATTCCAGACCGGATCGGACGTCAACGGACTGCGGGAAGTGCATGTAAACATAACCTCTTTTTCAAACTGTGTTTCTAAGTTGGTTCTGTGCCGCAGTTTTCGTGGATTTTGGAAAGTAAATTTTAGTCAAAGCAAAAAACAAATTATACCATTTTGTAGCTTAGGATATGTACTATATGGCTATATTTTTTGTTTTATGCTATTTAGAAATTTACAAGTCTGGCAGCAAAAGTCTCTCTTCATCCCGGGTCGTACTTTTTTCAGGATGAAGAGAAACTTGGGATTTTTTTTCTCCAGGGTAATGAGAGATTTTCAGTTTCGATTCATTTCACTGGAAAAAACATAATTGAAAGACTTCAGAAACGAGATTCAAGGCATCCAAATTCAAAATGAGTACCTACATGAGTCCAAAACTAATGAAATTTTAACTATCTCATCTCCCTCCCCCACACATCCAACTAGGTACCTATGCACAATGTTCTAGATAAATATGACCTGGAGACAAGTGTCAAAATGCCAGCTAAGCAGGCAAATATTCCTCTAACATCAGAATAGATCAGGAAAAATCCAATTTTTTAACTGGTCATTTTTATCATAATTTCAAAACCAAAATGTTCTCTTAAGCAATTTTCTAATGTTTAATTTCATTATATATTGTTAAGACTATATTTAAGCCCTATTTTTGCGGTTTTTTATCCCTCTAATAGAAATTTGAAATTTCACTTTTTGAATTGAATTTGTGAACTTCCTGTAGTCCAATTTCAAAACCCCGTAACTCATTCACATTTTGTCCGATTGACCTGAAATTTGAAATGGTAATCAAACTATATTAGTAGAACACTCTCATTGCCCTGCCATATTTTCCCTGTGCAATAGAAGAGGCAATCCAGACCAAGTCTCTCTGTACTCCATAATGGTAAAGAGAGACATGAAAAATGAGAAAAAAGAAAAAAATACTTTCTATTGCAGTGATAGAGATGACACTTTAGGTAATAAGTTCTTATGAGGTAACTAATGTACCCTGATTTTCTCAATCTTTAAACTCAAACAGGGAGCTCAGAAATAGGGGGGTAGGTCTCTCTTTACCCTGTTTGTCTCTCATTACTCGGCTCTCCCTACATTTCTTCTTTTTGAGCTATTTCTCTATTATCAGCCCAAAATGTTTTCAAGTTAACGTAGCAATTTTTTTTGAATTGCCTATCGAGCATTTTCGCTTTCAGTGGAAGGGAATGGCCGTTTGTATTGAGTTATCGAGGTTTTCGGTTATCATATTCTGTATTTTACTATCAACTCAGAATTTTTTCATTCCTAGTGTACAAAAATGCGGATGTACCTACTTACATCAACTGCCAATATTTGCTTGAAAAGTGATTAGCCATCGGAAATGAGTTTATCAAATATTAATACAAAATGTTGTCAATTTATAAATAGAGCAGGGACTTATGAATTTTTTTGTTTTCCTGTGTACCCTGATTCTAATGGAATGAGGACTGAAATGCCCGCATCAAATACCCGTGCAAGTGGTAAAAGAAAATAATGATTTTGCAAAGGAAAAGCAAGTCGGTGTCAAGTTGGTTGCAAAGGGAACAATCAGACCTTAGAGATCATTCTGTTGCAAGTTTCTAAATTATTGTGTAGTCCACTGACAGTGGACAAGGTTTCCAATGAAAGCCTAAGTCAATACTAGATCAAAAACTTTGAGCAGGTTCCTCATTAAACCCTGAGATCTTTCTAAATTCGTTTCTTGGCTGACATAAAAGCGTAACTACACATTGAGTTGAGCCCGGAAAAGCATTGAGTTGTATAGACAACAGGGTTCATTGCAAAGTGTAGTTACGCCCTTATGTCAGAAGAGCGACGAATCGGTGTAATACCTGAGGAACCTCTTTAAATAGCTTAAGCAAACCCATTTTTCAAGCTAAGTACAAGTAATAATTTAGAAATGTTTTATCATTCTTTGTTGCAGAGCTATGTTATCCAAGGAGAGCAAAGACAAATTGAGTGTCAATTTCATGTATGAACCTCCCCCTGGTGCAAAGAAGGAGCGTGAAAAAGAAGATGATGAACCTGAATTTAGATTTGAATGGCAGAGAAAATTCAATGCCCCCAGAGAGGAGTAAGTTTTTTAACTTTATTTACTGCGAGAACTAAGAGTTAAACAAGTATACTCAATAATAATTCATGGAGGTCTACTGATATGAATGACAGTTACCCAACACTCATAAAATGAAAGTGTGTTTGAGACCTTCCTTTTTTTCGTTCATATAGGGGTGCAGAATGTTCTCAACCACGCGATCATGATTGCGCGGCTGCTCGCAGGAGAATTGGGGAAGGCTGTAAAAATTTGGAAAGACCTCCCCCCCCCCCCCCCCCCACTCCGTGTTTTGAGGATAAAACAGGGAAGCGCATTGTTATTTGTGCTAGATGCCTTTCAAGCGTGCTGCTTTTAGGGAAGGAAACTATCAAGCAAGATTTTTATTTGCTGGAAGTATTTCAAGCACTCTGCTTGTGGAGAAAGGTACTTTTAAGCGCGGTGCTTTTGGAGAAGGAAACTTTTAAGCGCGCTGTTTTATACGCTGGAATTTTTTTAAGCGCGCTACTTTTGGGGAAAGAAGCTGTTGAGCGCGTTGTTTTATGTAGAGGCGCAATCATAGCAAAACAGCAAATTTTAGGGAAGGCTAAGAACCCTCTGCACCCCTGTGTTCTTAATTTTAAAAAGTTTAGAAGCTTTTCGAAGGAGAATTTATCACTAATTTTTCAGTAAATATGTGCGAAGAAAATATGCTATCTTGAGAAAATCTCTTTCTGTTTTGTAATCACATTTTTTGACCAACTGTAACAGTACATTTTTTAAATTTGTTATAATATACGTTGATACTCAGAAGTACCATTCATATTGACACATTTGTATCATGAACATCCCTCATTTCAGCTATTGTAAAGGAGATTCTGAAATCAGAGATCAGCCCTTCGGAATTCAAGTGAGGAACGTACGATGCATCAAGTGTCACAAGTGGGGACACATCAACACTGACAAAGAGTGTCCATTATTCAATCAAACTGCAGGAACATCAGAAGAAAAAGAGGAAGCTTTAGATGAGTCGACGCTCCTGCGACACCTCAAAGAAGACGGATTTGCAATGAAAAAGAGTGCCTTGTCAGCACAACAACATATCCAAATTCCAGAACATTTTCAAAAGGCATGTATAAGTTTTTGCATCCTCAGTGTAACATGGTAAATTTAAAAATAGGTCCCAAAAGGGTTCCAAAAAGAATTTCAGAAGCACGTTTGGAGAAAACACTGTCCACAAATAGTCACAAGGTGTGATCAAACAATCAAAATGGACAGCTCCGATGGGAGCTGCCTTTTGTAAAATTAAAAAATGCTTATCTTGGTTTGTTTCATTGCAAATCTCTGCACATGTATTTTTTTTTTTTTTTTTTTTTTTTTTTTTTTTTTTTTTTTTTTTTTATCTAGAAGAAAACCAACCAACAATTTGTCTTCAAATTTGCCAAAACTCATGAATTTAAAATTATTTCAAGTAGATATTTTAACTATTTTTCTCTTGAAAAAATAAAACAAAATAGGAAATTCTTAAACTTTGCTTTTTAGAAAAGAGTCAATTGCCAAAATACCGTTCTAATACTTGTGTAACTGACCCAGCCTTACATCATATTTTGAGAGTGATTTAGAGTTCAAAGTAGCGATACATAGTGGATGGGTGCTGGGTCCTCCAGAGGAAAGTTTTAACATGCTAGCCTGTGATGAGTTTTTCAAAAAGAATGAAAATCACACTGGTCAACTTCTGCATCCTTTCTTTTAGATCTAAGAGAACTGGATATGAGTTCAGTCCAAATCGAAGTTTACCATGTTCAAAACGTTGAATTTACCCAGTGTTTATCTTCTGCTCCGAGCTGGAAATCCTAATTTATATCTATTTATCTAATCCATTTTTCGATTGTAATTTCGTGTATTCTTCTTTTCTTAGGATATGCTATGTAGCGATGGGGAAATGGATGGAATGGATTCTCTGAATGATGCTGACCTTAACTTTTTAAAATCTTTATCGCCAAGGCAAAAATTTAAATTATTGAAGTAAGTATATCTGATTCATTTGTGAGTAATTACATAGTAGAGAGGCTTCTCGGGTGTGTCCTGAATGTAAATTCGAAATTTTGCATGAAGGTAGTCCCTTGCAGTTCTGTGAAATATTTCAATGTTGAAGATGGATTTGTAGTCCGAAGTGTACGTACGCAAGTCAAACACCGCTAACAAGCAATAAAAAAAATATGCATCCCAAAGCAAGTCTCTCCGTTTTTATTTTAACCTCATTAATGTGCCTTTCAAGTTACTTGACATTTTTCAAAAAACACGTTTTTCTTGTTAATACTAATGAGACTGAAAAGCTCCGTATGGTAAGGATGAAAATTGGGGTTCCCTGCAAAATTCAAACAAAGCAGCATAGCGGTCAACCTTCAGCAACGTACAACTATCTCTGCTCATGAAACAATTGCTGCTAACCAAGAAACAGTGTTGCCTGCCTTGCGTTCATGGGCGCATGAGACAGGAAAATTAAAGGCACTGCTAAATTGAGTTTTGACCCAATTTAGCAAAACAATTTATTACAATGCCCAGAATTCAATGGCTGTTGGCATAGTTCCAAATCAAGATAATGGACTCCTCCACCTCTCGTAATAACTTTATGTAATAGCAAATCATTTCAAAAAGTTAGATATAATTGTTAATAGGTCAGTAGTTTAAATCATCGGTTTTAGGTTACAATATTTGTTTTTTTGCCTCAATTACCTGGGACCAGAACATAAAATTATATGAGTGATGACCTTATAGCAAGAATTCTTCAGAAGTAAGGACACTTTTGCAGGGAAAAATCCAAGATGAAGGACTTTTCTACAGAGAAGCCTCCCTTATCAATGAACTTTGTGTGGAGGTTTGTCCACAATTAACCCGTTTGCGTGATTTGATGAGTGCTTTCATTAGCACAAGCCTAGAACATATTTGAATTGATGAGTAAACTTGCTGCATTGCAAGGCGATTGCTTCGGTCGTGTTTCTAGATTTCCATTTAGATAGCGCCTCAAGGACTGTTCTCAAGACCACGTTGGAGTGTTCTGTTGCCAGCCTGAATAAATCCAAGTGATCTTTTTTCTAATTTGGTGCAATGAAGTATTTTATCGAAGAACTGTCTCATCATCATCATACCTCTCGGCACAGCAGGCAAATAAAACATTGCATGTAAATGAGTTAAGAGATGAATTCTAAGTTTCCGCAAATTTCAACTGAGTCCGCAACTTTCACCAATCCTGTGATCCCGTACTTTCCGTCAGCACTAGTTGTTCAGTAACTCACGACGAATGAAAAAACAATATCATTGCTCTTGGTTTTAGCACCCGCATATCACAAATGAACTAAATTACAAGAGTTTCAATGGATAGTTGAAAATTGAAAGAAAGAAGCGTGTTTACTGGATTTCAATTTTCCTTAATGCTGATTCTTCTGAGTGGAATAGGGAATCTGTTCAAATGCATTTAAATTGCTCTTTTCAAAAAGTACTGAATTCCATAAAAATAGAAAGGTAAATAATTCCAGCTAAAAAAAGAGCTTTCGGTTACTGGAGAGAATTTTTGGCATGTGTAATTCAGTACCCCAAAAAAGTTCTGCAACCAAAAGTTAGGGGTCTTTTAGTGGTGCAATATGAACTTCTTTTAACCTTGCCTGCGCACTGTTTGAATCAAATGAAACAAGTGCCTAACTTTTTTAGGAAATATTAGAAAAATGTCCGTAACTGTTTAAACAGCTCTCCTGCAACAAATCAGAATGTTTATTTCTTCCCTTTTTTTTCTTTTTTTAGCGAACTATTCTGATGCATTTAGTACTCTCATGTTTTCATCTTCTTATCACTATATTACATTTTATTGTTCACAATATTTATTTTTCTATTTTGCTCTTTTTCAGGAAATTGGTGAAACTGGAAAAGAAGAATGCTAAGAAGAAGAAATCAAAAAGATAACTTTTTTAATTTCTTAAATATGTTACATCCATTGTAGGTTGATACGTCTGAATGGGTTTGCTGAGGACTAGAACATGTAAGGACAGTTTTCAGATGATCCAAACATCACAGGTGAATTGAAAGTGGAGAAACCATGCTGTTCACTACTGGAGTAGATGATGTCCATCACTTGGTTCTTTAAACGGAATTTAGGGTTAAAATCTAAGTTGATTTTGGCACTTAGAAATTGCCCAGAATTTTAACGATTTCGTTATGTTTTACTGATCTACGATTTTCAACCCCTGAAACGTATTGGGATCTGAGTCTGTCCATTTTGATTTACTAAGAATGAAAATTGAATACCTCAGAATTAATGCTTCTTGTGTGAATGATTTGAGATCGCACTGAAAGACTGCTGAGAGTTAAGATTAACAACTATGTAGAAATTTGCTGGATCTGTATGTCCCCCTGTCTCTGTTCATTGTATTTGAGGGGCTTGGAGGACAAGGTGCATTAAGTGCAGCTTTTGCTACTTCAAGAAATATTTGTTTAAAGTTTCAAAATTACATGGAACCTTATGGCAGAAAGGAAGATTAAACTCACTTTTTAATGCTTTAAAGTTGGATTTTAGTTGTGATTTTTTCAAAGAATATATGTGCATACTTACAAACTAGTTTTAGCTAAGTTTATGGATACATCAATTTTTTTAAACAACTGCCTTTGTGCGCCTTGTCCTCCAAACTCCTCTTTTAATCTTTAGCATTTTTTCTAAGAGCAAATTTTTTTGTGATTTCTGTATTCTATCGATTTAGAATGTTGAAAAATAAACAATAAATTACTGTTGTTGATTCAGAAAATATTGTCAATTTCATTTTTTTATGCCACGAAAAACAGGAGTCTGTATATTGGGCTTCAGTTGATGTCTTGTTTGAGAAGTTATCCAAAAGTTGATTAAAATTGTAAACATTTGATGAAGAGAATGTCAAAAGTGATCCTTTAACTTTTTAAAATGTGTCGCGGTGTGTTTTAATTGTATTTAAAAATCTTTGCAACACTTGGAGGTGAAATGAGTATCCACCCCAAATGCCCTATTTTGCTCTTTCTGCCTTATCTCCTCCCATTTGGATCGTTGATCACCTGCTCCTGCAATTATTTACGATTGGGCCATTAGACTGCTCCTGTATCATGGAAAGATGTCACAATCTCACAATCATTACTGTACGCGTTTCTGTGGGATATCTTCTGAAATGTTCCATACCTTATGGAAAAACTCGACTTTACAACCATTTGTTTGAGAATTAGAAGTTTTGAAGTTTGAGTTCGAATTGTATATTAGAACTCAAATAATTTTACTTACAATAATGATCAATTTTATGTAAACGGTTCAAGCAATTGAACCCTTATTCAAACTAATCCTTCTAGCAACTACAGGGGACATCTTCAAAAAATTGTAATCAGTAATGACGTTTCTCACAGAAAGTAGCTTGCCTACAAACGATGCACTAACAATTGAATGACAGAGTTATTGACTTAAATCTACTTGAAAAACACGATGGATTTTGAAAAAAAAACGAGTTGGTGCATGAAAACAATCAACATTTATTAATTTTCGTTGAAGATTTAAATTTAAAAAAAAAAAAAAAAATGGAGCTATGATTAATTGGAGAAGTATAAAAGTCCTTACTTATGATCAATCACAGAGGGTTTGAAATTACAAGAGTTTAAAAGGAACAACAAGCTCGCATACTTGATGCTTTCATGTAAGTTAAAAGGATATTCACAAGAAGGTGTGAAGTTTTCCATAAATTCAATTTCCAAATTCATGATTAAACGTGGAAAGGCTGTTGAATATAGGGAGAAAAAAGGCTGTAATTTAATAATAGAAATCCTAGTACAGAGAAACTGCGTTTGAAGATCGAGGTCTCTTGATCTTTTCCAGGTTCTTGATTACTATGTCGTGCAATGTGCAGTATCTGTTGCGAATTTCGATGATTATAAGCCAAAGACTTAGGTGAGATCTTTCATCCAGTTCCTGAATGGCAGTTCGATAATCGTCAATATGAGGATATTTTGCTACCTAAAACAGGGGAACAAACATATTAGCACAAAATTGAACACTTGAAAGAGATGGATAGTGATGGTCAAAACTAAAGATAATTTTCGGCTTCAGCAGCAAACGTCTGAAAAAAAATCTTACAGTTGTTAATAAAAAACTCAGGACTTCATAAAATACAGTTTCATGAAATTTTTCAAAACTTCTTCAATGGACTCAGTATACTACGTGATGTATAGAGATAGTGTAATCTTGATTTTGAAAAAAATAAAACAATTACTTTTGTCCTTACCATAGATCAAAACGATGAATCTTACAGGAGATCAAAATGATAAATCTAACAGGACTCAACTTTTGAAGGCGATGTTTTTTAAATTTAACATGAATATGATCTGGTCTGGTGAGTTCTGATGGCAAAAAATGGTTATGAACATTTAAAACTTTATTTTCTTTGAAAGCTGCTGTTCAGTATCTTCGGTGAAGACAAAGAGTCTAAAAAACATCAAGAGATATTCGGACCAACCCTCCAAAATTTAATTTGAATTTTGGGGGGAAGTTGGACCCTAAATTAGACCCTTCTTTAAAAGCACCCATGTACACTTGCCTCTCTTAAAATTGATGATACATTCGAGGAGAAACTGAGACACTGCAACCAAGGAAGGCCCTTCCTGCGCCTGGCACTTCAATTTTTAGAATTTTTGAGTTGATTAAAAGATATCTATGGCCGGAGCCTATGCTCCAATTGATAACAATAGGGATAAACCTCTCCGGACTAAAATATCCAACACATCCTTTTGCTGGGCAAGATTCAAAAATACAAGCTGAAACTCCCTAGAAAAGAGTTTAGAGACTAAAGCCCTTACCTTGGAGACCAATTTAGCTCGAGTTGCATGATATCTGGAAATCTGATCGAAGTAAGTTGCAGCCTCAGACTCTACAGACTGAATTTCTTCTAGGGTTTCCTCTTGAACAGAGACACCAAAATTGTTCCCATCTTCAATTTTTGGTATCATGAAAGACACCCACATTTTTAGCTGAAGCAGAGAATTTCATTTCATTCGAGCTTGTTGAAATCATTAAAATACAAGATGTCATGCATGAACTGAAACTAATTACTTATCAATACTACAAGCTCTTTCACTTCACCTTGCAAATTTCCACTTCTTCTTTAAGTTATTCCTTCCAGATCTACAAAGTTGACTTTAATGTTTTTCAGACTGTCAGCAGGTAACAATCTTTGAATGAGCTTGTTGTCTTCAAATTTTTTTAGAAATCCCCTGAGTTTGTTATGAATAAAAAGGCTGTCTCAAAAATGTGAGATTTTCCCTGTTTTGAAAAAACTATCACAGATATCAAGATGCGGTGTGAGGGAGCTTCAAGGCTTATTATGGTAGATCTCTTACAAGGCTTGCTGAGTTGGGTAAAATTTGCTCTTATACAGTTATTTTTCTGTGTAAAGAGAAAACCCTACAGAATTTTAGAGTTATTTTTTACTCTCTGACTCCACTCCGTAAGGACACGGCATCTTTGGGAGTAATTAAGTCAGCAACTGTTAAACTCATTAAGCTTTAACCTGAATCTTCATGGTAACGAAGGAACCTATTACAGGAAAAGTTATATTTCTCTTATTTTAAATGTAATTCCTCCATTATTTGATATTTCTGATTGTTGCTAAATGTAAGCAACAGTAACTTTTTAGCTGTTAGGTACTGCTTTTCTCATAATTTTTCTCATAAAAAAACGCAAATTTCTTATGCAGATTGTGAAGTTAAGGGTGCATTCCAGACTTTGTCGATACGCTCATCGTGATTTTTGGGTCACTTTCATTAAAAGTCAACTCGTATTTTTCCTCGATAAAAAGTTTGCCACAGGCTCATTCTAGATACTTACGATGTTTGCATCCTCAATCAGTTCCTTGATGTACGGCTTGACAATTTTGATGACATCTGTGAGGTATTTGTTACAGGGTACAGTTCCAGAGATAATAGAAAATACTTTAGTTCCGTCGATGTCTTCATGATCCTGCTTCCTTTTTTTTGACACAGGCTCATTGTTGCAGCTGTAAAAAGTAGAGGAAAACATTTTAAAAATGAACAGAAACAGAGAAAAGAGCCTGTAGATAAAATGCTGGATTTAAGAAAGGCAAGTGTTCTAATGTTGAATAGAGCATTAAACAGAGGGCAGAAACTAGCCTTCCCATTTTCATAATTTACCTTCCCAAAAAGTTGGTATTTTGCTTTAATTTGATCTCCAAACAAAACAACGCACTTAAAAGTTTCCTTTTCTAAAAGCAGCACACTTGAAAGGCTTCTAGCACAGAAAATAACACGCTTCGAAGTTTTTTTTCATCCAAAACAGGGCACTTGGCAATTTTCTTCCCAAGAAAAAGCTGACTTGGTTTGCTAAATGGGTCAAAAAGAAAAAGAAAAAGAAAAAAAAATTGCACCCCTCCCCATTTCCTATGAGAGTGGCCAAACAGTCATCATCGGAAAATCAGGAAGTTTCTGTATCCCTGGCATTCAGAATCTGCAATTCAGTGCTGCAAAATCTCACCGATTAGAATGCGTAAATCCATTTCAACGTTTTGGAGTATTCTCATACAGTGTAAATTTTAAAAAGATGTTAAATGATTGAATCAACTTAAAGTTTCATCTAGATATTCCTTCCAGTGCAAAAACTATTCAAAAATTTTACAGCCCATTTGTTTGCAAGTTAACTTCTTAAAAATAAACGTAGGAAGGAGATATCAACTACAGTTTATTTGTTATAGACCACGCATCTTCAGCCAATTATCGACCATCTTATCGCCAGTTTCCTTGACTTGAGATGATATTTTACTAAATTGATCCAAGGTTGTTCTTGGAAAAAAAGAAGAAGAAAAAGACAGTGCAATTCAAAGTTAAGTTTAGAAAACTGCAGATTTTGGAAAAAGCAGATTGAAATCTTGCAAGCACCATCTTTAGCAGTAACACATTCATATCAGAATCCTTCGGGAGGCAATTCTTGACACACCCACTAGTTTTTTCGATTCATACCTACATTTAAAATCTTTACTCATGATTAGTTTAACAAGGCACTTTTTGCAAAATTTCAAGAAATCCATAACTAATCTCTTTTTTTTGTCCAAAATTTTGGATATCATTGGTGCTCATTCTCAGCTTAAAAACAAGAAGTGTTATCTTTCCAATTGTTTTCACATGCAGAGACATGCAAAATTTGTTCGAATAAAAATCAAATTTCAGTTCCACATTATCTTTATTCCTGTGAACTTCCAGACTCTTCCAATTTTCATAACATTTGTGTGTTATTTTCGGTGATCTCCTTGGAGCATTACCACAATTTTTCACCTTTTCGAAAATTACAATTTCTAGATAAGGTGTCAAGGATTAAAACCTGTGACAACCCATGTAAAGGAAGGGAAGCAGCTAGTCAATTAATATTAGCTCCAAAATAGTCAAGATGCATAATGATTTAAATTAAACATTTTAGGGCTTCAGAATTTGCTAATGTACATAAAGTGCACTTCTCACTTTCAAGTTTCAGAATTTTCTTTTACACATTTTCTCTTGACAGGAAAAAAAAGGTGCCTGTAGAGAAATGGAAAATTAGCTGAATATTCTTTGTAATTTATCCATATCTTTGGCAGAAATTTCAAGTTCAGTGATCCAATTCCCTCTCACAAAAATGAATTTTTTGGTGGAGATCTTGAGACTTATTAGCCAACTCACATCCAAAGCTTCAACTACACAATCAAGCGAAGGTTCCTCAAGTATTTAACTCACAAATCAACAAAATAACAAGTCATACTTTTGTAGAGAGACAGGCTCCGGAACAGGGATGTTGAGTTCTTGGTGTACTTTGGAGCTATCTTTCTCCTTGAATTGGCTTGTTTCTAGCAGTTCATTCAATCTGACTATCTTTTCTGGAAATTCTTTCAGTATCAAATGCTCTGCCTGTTGACAAGAATAAAAATTATTAAGGAGCTAAATGTAGCTACAGAAGATATACCTGTGAAGCTCAGTTTAAAATGTGTAAAAATTCTACTTTCTCTATAAAATTGACGAGCGAGCCAATTTTCTGCAAACTTTGCTGAGAGAAAAAACATACCAAGCTTATCTAAGCTACCTGATGAGTCATTTTTTGCCACCTGACGCAAGGTCAAAAAAATTACAAATTGATTAGACTTGTCTCTTTTCAAAACATGCCTACTTATTTAACATGCACTACAGGGTTTCAAACAATGAGCAAGATACGATTCTCCAGAAAATAAATTACAGTTGTAACATATCCAGCATATCGGCAGTGTAAGTTGGCAATCACATAACTCGGTTTGCGACGTCATACCGACGTCCACCATTGTAAACAGGCTTGTTATCATACTTTATTTTTTAAACTGGAAACTACTCAACGGCATTTCCTTACAACTGCCGTGATTTTTCTTCTCGGTACGAAGAAAATTCTGCGAAAACTTCAAAGAATGATGTCAATTTGCACTCCTTTAAAAAAATAACATAGAGGCGGAGATTTTCAGACACCGCAAACGAATTATGTGATTGCCGACTTACACCGTCGATATGGGACAGACGTTATCCCCCTATGGTATAGTGTTACGAATTCGCAACAAAGTATTTGTGGGGTTTTAAAAACTGAATCTATCCTATGTGGCATGATTTTACAAATTTTCATAATTTTTATCTTTTTGGAATGACTGATTCTCAGAAATATTAAATTTTGAAGAGAAAAAAACTTGGTACCCTCTGTTTTGTGTGCAAGCTACAAAATAGATTATACTTAGTGTCCCCTGGAATCTGAGATCCAAAATTAATTCATGCCACGGAGGGTTAACTGGTCCTCAGGATTCTTTGTAAAATAACATCTCCTCAGAAGGAGAGCTCTATTGCTCATTGAATAATGGTTACATTGGTAATACTTACTGTGATGAAAACAAAATTTTCTGAAATACGTAAATGAATTTGAACAGAGATAAAATTACATAGGTATATGAATGACTACTGGCAGAAATAGTAAGTGCATAGTTTTACCTTGGTTTTCAGACTGTCTTTGTATTCTTCAACCTGCAAAAAAAAGGGGGGGAAAAAATCAAATTAAATCAAATCTAATAGATACTTCGATAAATATAGGATAAAAGCCAGTGCAATATTCCGTGCGATGACAGTACATGACATTGCCGTGCTCATCACCAAAGAGTGCCTCTTTACCAATGCATCTGGTGCATTTACTCATGGTGCCTCTTTGGAGGTTAGGTAAGACCTCACAGAAAATATATATAATCATGAAAATTAGCAAATGTCTTGGAAAAGCATAAATCAATCAATTATGAAACACTATAGACCCTCTTAGTGGCGACGTTATCATAGGAATTCTCCATTATATCAAATTGCATCCAAACAATAACATTGACGTAACCTCTTTCAATGCTACCGATGCAAATAAATCAATAAACCTAAACTGCTTTTTTGTGACTTGCCACTAACAGCGTTTATAGGGAGAAAACATGACAAAATTATAATTCACAATCATGTAATATGACATACAAATAAATGTAATATTTAAATACTCATAATCTTGATTTTAACGTCAAACATTTCCAGATGAAGATCTCTCTAGAATCACTTTATCAGTGTTATTAATAAGCTTTAACTTAGTATTTCTCGTACAAATTAACTAGGTTAAATGTATACAAGGCGGCTGCAATACATATCCCTCCACTTGAAAAGATCCCTGGTATGCTATAAGCTATACTGAGGGTTGACTAAAATTCCAGATTTCATTCAATTTCCTCAGTTTTCATTGAACGTCTGTGGCAAGTTGAAAAGAAAATTCTAGAGGTCAATGTGAGAGGTTTGCGAGGGAAAATAATTGTGATGGGCAGCATTATCCTTGAGAATAATTGCGCTTCAGGGTGATTTGCACAATGTGGGTTGAAACATAAGCACATTATCAGACTTAATAAAGCAGCATCATTCAAGGGAGGTGTAAGCATTCACCCATTAGACCTAATGATGCCAACAATGATTGTCCCGGAGGTTAATATCACCAACTTTCATCAAGCATAAGAATATCAACATGATAATATTAAATGACAGTAGGAGTTAAAACACAAAAGTGGACATGAGCCTTCTGATCAATCATCTGATATAACAGTTGCTCAGGGAGGCATGCATTTCATTAAAAAAGAAATTAATATACACGCATGTGACCTACGGTACTCGAGGGTCTGATGGTGCGAAGTGACATCAAAGGAATAAAATACTTTTTTGTCAGTGATTGAAGGCAGTATCAAATTGCAATAAAAACAAATAAGATTAACTGAGTGTAGGAAAAATGCGAAGGAGAGATATACAGATTGATAAAAAGAACCAATTCGCAATTATAAGATACTCAGTAGGTAATTAGTATCAAGATCTTAGCTGCAAAGCTGATCTCAGTTCTCACACGCACGTTGCGTGCAGCAAACGTGACATTCAAGCTATTTTGAAGGAAACGTGAAGAACTCACTTTAGCTGCTGCTTTCCCTTCCATTAGTAACGGTGAGATGGATAAAATAAGCAAATTTAAAATGAAATGGATTTGAAAATGTAAAAATTTTGCGGAAGAACACGGCTCAAACCCCACAAGCCACGGCACGATTTACGGATTTACGAACAACAACAAAAGCTACAAGAAGAAGAAGAAACAACTTCAACTTTTTTAACAGTAAAAGAGAACAGAGGAAAGTACATGGTAGAGAGCAAGCTTCAAAGAGCATACATGTTGCCGAGAACTAGGATAAGTTGCCATTCAACGGTGCCGTATCTTAACGCGGTCTTTTTAAATTTACAGGGCATCCTACGGCTTTCGACAGAGCACAGGGGAGAATTTCATGAGCTGCCCTGCGCCATCCGCATGGCGCATGGCGCACGACCCGCGCCCTCATGGTAGGTAACACTTAATCCAGCGTTGAGAGTTCACTAATTACTTCGCAGGACCAGTATGTAATTTTAAAAGTCGAAAGTTTAAAAAAAAAAAATTCACGATAAGTACCTGCACGAGTTCCTCCGCCAGGAAGCTCTCCCCGCAAGAAATCGTTCACCACCCGCCCGCCGCCGGAAGAGCCGAGGCGCGGCGCGGTGCAGGGGCGGACTGGCCATGGGGGCGGGGAAACGTTCGCCCCCTAACAATTTGCAGCGGAGGTCCCGAAGGGACCCCGCGGCGAATTTTTTTCGAGTCATCGTTTTTTTCCCGTAATGTTGTAATTTTCTTATCCTTTTCAATCACTAAAAGGCCCCGATACCTGCGCCTTAGCAAGGCGATGGAAGTTTAATATTGAGGTAGCGTCCCCGTTTGGTTTTTCGGCTTTCGTGTGCCGCTACTGCAGTTTCGACCGTTCAGGCCGGAGTTAAAGGGCGCTAAAGCCAGGATCGTACTACGCAAAGAGAAAATTTTACCCGAATAATTAAAAATTAAGTAGCAGGAATATTTTAACTAAATAATAAAAGGAAGTCAAATCTACAATATAAAGCAAAATAATTTGTAAGATCTCGTCATGAAAATACAGAAGATTCGAAAACGCCTTCAATTGAAGCGTGATACCTCACGCGTTCCGGAGAGTTCAAATAGTTGTATCCCTGCGCCTTAGCAAGGCGATGGAAGTTTAACATTGAAGTAGCGTCCCCGCTTGGTTTTTCGGCTTTCCTGTGCTGCCAGGGGCGGACTGGCCATGGGAACGGGGAGGCGATTGCCCCCTAACAATTTGCCGCGGAGGTCCCGAAGGGGCCGGCGAATTTTTTTCGAGTCATCGTTTTTTTCCCGTAATGTTGTAATTTTCTGATCCTTTTCAATCAGCAATCACTAAAAGGCTCAGAATGCCTTGAAAATTTGTCTCTAAGAGACATGGAAGGTCGCCAAAAGCATTTGTGATGAAGGGACCCCTGATGAATCCTGAGAATGGGTTATTTTGAAGTTCAAGTACTGTAGAATCCAACTCCAATAATGCCTACGTGTTTAAAAAGTGTGAAATTTTCAAAATTTACCAGGGGAGGGCCCCCGAACGACAGGAGGGGCCCTTACATTTAGGTTTCCTCCTAACTTTTCGACTACCAGTCCGCCCCTGGCGCGGTGCGGTGTGCTGCAAGCGCGAAACGCGCATTTGACGCCTACAAACCCAAAGGGCTACTTCACGCATTGCGCAATGCTTGAAGTATCCCTTTAGGTTTGTAGGCGTCAGTGCGCGTTTCGAGCTGGTAGCACACCGCGCCGCGCCGCAGCGTGCCTGTTACAATGTTGGCAATTTGAAATCAAATTCAAAATTAGCGGCTCAAAAAACATCAGTTACGAAACTTTCGTGATCTTTCAGTGATTATTCGACTTATCTATATTATCTATACTATAAGCTCCAAGACCTCCTAATTTTGCGAAACTGGTAACGCTTAGTTCCAGCGTTCTACCGGGCCGATTTTCATGATTTTTTCGGTTATCGACGGGCAATTGTCTCTAGATAAGCCAACTCTTTTCAGATTTTCAAAATATGGCCCAGGTTTTTTTTTTATATTACGTGGTAAAATTGCGAATTCTCCCATTTAAACAATGTAAATTTATACTTTTTGTCATAGCTCGTTTGAGCGTTCTACCGGGCCAATTTCCATGATTTTTGCGTAAATCGACTGGTAATAGGCCCTAGATGAGCCCGCTGTAATCAGATTTTGGAAAAAGGACCCAGGTTTTTTTAAAATCACGTTATAAAAGTGAGTGAGTTTATAGAATGCTCCGGTACTGCTACCGCTATGCGCGGGAGGATGCACAGTGGTCGAGGAGGTTGCGCAGTAGCTGTGTAGCCTGCGCATCAGCTCTACACTTATCTACACAAGATTCGCAGCGACATTCTCACGTCGAGTGGTGACCGAGTCGTCTAAGACGTCGAATGCGTTCACTTTGAACCCGGTGTAGATTCGATCCCCAACTCATGAATTCTTAATTATTATCTAACTATCATTGTTCATTGTTTTACTGCAATATTTCATCAAGCAGTCATTCCAAAACGCGTCCTTTTAATTTTAAAGTAATTTTAAGTAAAGTTTAAAATTAAAGTATACCTCATATCGTAATTGTTTAGGGGAAAAATAAAACTAACACTGATAGGAGGGTAAAAATAGGGCCGCGAAGCGGCCCATTGATGGCGCGGAGCGCCTTCAGGGGGTTGGGCCGCGTAGCCCCCTAGTTTCTTCCTATTCTTGAATTTTGGACAATAGTGCACCGCGGGCGGCGGCACTCATGAAATTCTCCCCTGTGCACAAGCGGTACGGCTTTTCCACCAAGCTGGCTGTGACCAAGTGTTATTTACTACCAATGTGGCTGGATTTTACTTCAGTTCCCTCGTTTAAATGGAGATGTTCGGTGTAATACGGTGATACGTGTTTTAGGAATGACGGAGTGACATCCGGAATGGAGACAAATGATTTTGGCATCTGCGATAAAAATTTGCCCCCCCCCCCCACTTTGAACTATAATTGCGGTCAAACAGTGAACTAAACCTAATAAATTAATCGAATTCGTGTTTTTGAAGTTACTATAGGTATGATGCTTTTTCAATTAGCACGCAGGCAGCCGGGATTAATAGCGATGAGAGGCATGGACATTACGCAACGTCTTCTTCCGACCAGTTGCATTTCGACGGCGTAATGTCCGCAATCACATATCTCGTTTGCGGTGTCTGAAAATCTCCGCCTCTATGTTATTTTCTTAAAGGAGAACAATCATTTCTTGAAGTTTTTGCAGAATTTTCTTCGCACAAAGAAGAAAAATCACGGCAGTCTTAAAATAAATTATATAGGTATGACAGGAAGTCTGCGACGTCGCAAACCGAGTTAAGTGCGATTGCCGACTTACACCGTCGATTTAGGCTCCATAACTGATAGCTATTTCTGAATTTTCTTTGATCGAAAGTATACCCATACAAATTTATATAACCGTGAAAATATCATTGGAGAAAAAACTGAAAGCTCCTTTCTCCAGACGGTCACCCGGGAACGGCAAGGGGGCCCGAAAAAATGGATTATCTTGATCATCTTTTCCTACCAGTCTCATTGGCTTCAATCATTAAAAGTGGGGTTTAAACTTATTTTTGAATGGAAAAGGGGGGAAATCGAGCCGCGATTCTCATGGGCACAATCGTAGATACTACAATGTTTGACTCCAGAGATCGACTGTCAACGAGCAAAAAAATTGGCAGCGGAATCTGTGTTCCAAAATACCATAGACCTACAGCCGGCTGTAAGATTTCCAATAGCTTCTATAGCCGGCAACACAATTTCTTATAGACTTTTATAGCCGATGGCGACTAAGCAACAGCCTGGCGATAAAGTGTATGCTAAACGTTACTAATTACGGATACTAGGACTTAGTGAGTTTTTGGACTACCGCTCTCTTTTTGGGCCGAAGTAGGTATCTTGATTTAATTTGCGAAGAAAAGTTCGGTTCTTCTGAAGGATGCCTAACATTCCTAATATGTTGGAGCGCTTTCAATTTCGTATGATACTATGCAATACCTCTGGTGTGAAATAGTTGCTTCAAGCGCCATGGTACGCTGCGGCACGGCGCGGCGGGCGGGCAGCCAGCGCTGAACGCGCATTGGCGCCTGCAAACCTAACAGGGATACTTCACGCATTGCGCAATGCGTGAAGTATCCCTGTTAGGTTTGCAGGCGCCGGTGCGCCGCCGCTCCGCTTTGTATTAGGCTCTAATATGAGACTTTGAAATGTTTGCACACTCTGTATGGATTATTCTCAGTTTAATTGATGAAAAAAAATATGTAGTAAAGGAAAATATAATGTGCGTTTTGTAAATATTAAGGTGATTCCGTCCAAACTTAAGGATTTACAAAGCACAAGAATTTCTACTCAATTTCTTATAGCCTTTTATAGCCGATGGCGAAAAAGCAACAGCCAGGCGATACAGTGTAAAACTCGGCGATAGGAACTATAGCCCGGCTGTATAATTTTTTTATCGCTTCGTGTAGCCCGGCCGTATGATTTTTTCCACTTTCTACAGCCAGCTATATGATTTTCTATCGCCCTCTTCAGTCGGCTATAAGAACTCCTAAGGTATTTTGAAACGCAGCTCCTATCGCCAATTTTTACCAGGGCGTTTAATGTTACGTTTCGTTTTTACCGAACGGAGATCCATGAAATAAATAAATAAAAACACACCTGCATGGGAGAGCTAATTTGGGAATTTCGCCTATTTAAAGGCTGAAGGACCAAATGAACTGCGTTTAACAGAAAGGAACCAAGCCACATCAGCTATTGCCAAATTTAACTAGACAATTTAATTTTTTACGAGGAAACGTTTGTGCGGATTCTTTTGAAAATTTTAAGGAATTTGCTTCGCACTAGGGAGAAAATTCCCTGAAATTTGCATGAAAATCTGCACAACCGTTTTCATGTGAAAAATTAAATCGCCCAGTTAAATTTGGCAATAGCTGATGTGGCTTGGTTCCTTTCTGTTTAATGCGGTCGAAATATAATTCATGCTGAGGCGGCCCCGTGAGCGAACTCGGAATTCGGAAAGAAGAGCCTCCAAAAAGGGCATGCAGTGCGCGTGGATGCACAGCCTTATCCTTGCGGCTCCTCACGACTCCCACGCTGCCACCGGCTAGCGAGAAACGCACAAGTACATCAGATTTCAGACCGAGCGTTTCGCGGTTCTTGCCGAGTGCGGCAGCTCGCATGGAGCCCGTCCGATCAATAAGGGTGAGAACCCGTGGAAATGGCGCCACAGCAGATATCCCAACGCGCTAGCCCGTATCCCAAAACTTAACTTTTCGTCATAAAATCGCTCAGCGTGCATTTCTCTTCTCAAACTGGGGTTTGTTTTATCTTGACTTCCCGGCTAATTATTATGTCCAACTATTTCGTGCTGATTATTTGTATTCTCGGTGTCCTTTTGACATGAGGCTGCATTGCTGCAGCGCGGTGGAGTTTCAGTGATAACAGATGGTGATGTAACGATAACGATCGGAAGTGTCCTCTTTATTTCATCTTAAATCCAATCGGAGGTAAGACTTAAGGTTCTCACACTAGTAATTTTTGCGTTGGGGATGAAAGGTGTTTCATGCTAAACATTTCCAATTTGTACCCCCTAAAATGTCATGTAGTAGATACATTGCTGATAACAAGTCCACCGTTCTTATCAGTTATCAATGGAGGATCGAGCCCTCCATGCAGGGGTTTCAAAATATTCTGTAACTATCGGATTCCCTCAACTCCGCTGCACTGTTCTTGATGCTTTTTTCCCCCATCAAATTGACGTACAAAAATTTCATTCCACTGAAATGTATGATAGGTAATATTACTCAAATGTCAATACCTAACCTCAGTTCAATAATTTTTTAAACGATTAATTTTAATTTCCCTCCCCTCCTTTCTGGCTGATTATGTGGAGGTCAGTAAATAGATATTTTTTATAGCGGCATCTTACTATTTATTTTTTAAGAATATTTCGATCTGGACGTTTTTACCATCAAGGGAAGTTTTCGCTCAAATACCTCACTCAAATTTAAAGTTTTAAAATATAACATATGTGGGCTTTATACGCACAAGCTCGTGGTATCAATGGGTTTTGCTGCTGCACATAAGGTAATTAAACTTTGAGCTTACTTTGGAACAGTGCTTTTCTCTAAATATGAATTGAAGGGCTTGGAGGCCAAAGCGCATAATAATGCAGTTTTTGCTATTTCCAGAATTAAGTAGGTTTAGGTACTTACTTATGTATTCGAAGTTTCGAAATTACATGGATCCTCATGACAGAGAGAAAGTTCAAACTGACTTTTTGATGCTTGAAAATTGGAATTTGGGAACGAATTTTTCCCAGAATATGGATTAAGACTGGAGTCTCACTTGGAACCATAAACTCCATATCTTTTAAGAAACTGTACATAATTATTTATTGTCCTAAGCCCCTCAATTGATTCAAATTTCAAGCAGCAAGTTTTTTCTTAACACATTTACAAGAAATACACTTTACTTATCGCCGCGGGAAGTCTGGAAATCGGCTACCATATTGATTAAATGACAAAAATACAAGCAACGTCTTTTGAAAAATTGATCGGTCTAAAAAAATACTTATTAATATCTCGTTCAGGAGTCTATTTTCGAACTTCTTGTCGTGCAAGTTGTCGTTTTTTGCGTAGGATTTTGAAGAGAGAAGATGTGACTTTTAGTCTAGTTCAGACCGTCTAGTGGCCCACTGTGCGAAAACGTCATTCAGGTATTTACAGGCATTTTCAGGTATTCAGGTTTTTTAGTCTGCATTTATGGTAAGAGCACGATGTCCTTCATTGGGGCGGCGATGAATCAATACAGTGATTGTTCTTATGTTTGCACAGCCATGTTCAAAGGTGTTGTGGCGACTCTCCTGAATCGCTATTTTGGAAAATACGTCGAAGATCTCGACATTGAGAATTTGAACGTGGGGATTTTCAGCGGCGATGTACAGCTGCAAAACCTCAAACTGAAACCGGAGGCTTTCGTACGTATTTTCACAAATTATTCACATGCATTTTTTTTTGTTGATATTTAAGTTTGACAGTCACTAATGATGGTGCTGACAAAATTGTGGCATGAGGCCCCTGATAAAAATTGGCAGTAGAATCTGTGTTCCAAAATACCATAAACCTAATGCCGGCTGTAAGATTTTCAATAGCTTCTATAGCCGGATGCACAATTTCTTATAGCATTTTATAGCCGATGGCGATTAAGCAACAGCCAGGCGATAAAGTGTATGCTAAATGTCACTAATATAACGGATGCTAGAACTTATTGAGTTTTTGGACTACCGCTCTATTTTTTGGCCGTAGTATCTTGATTTATTTTGCGCGGAAAGCTGCGTACTTTTGAAGGATGCCTGCCATTCCTAATATGTTGGAGCGCCTTCAATTTCGTATGATACTGTGCAATACCTCTGGTGTGAAATAGTTGCTTCAAGCGCCGCCGTGGCACGCTGCGGCGCGGCGGGCAGATAGCCAGCGAGAAAAGCGCATTAGCGCCTACAAACCTAACAGGGATACTTCAAGCATTGCGCAATGCGTAAAGTATCCCTGTTAGGTTTGTAGGCGCTAGTGCGCGCTTAACTCTGGCAGCACGCCGCTCCGCTCTGTGTTAGGCTCCAATATATAATCTCGCGGAGTCAGCGTTTTTCAACCCATGATTTTAAAATGTTTGCACATCCTGTATGGATTATTCTCATTTTAATTGATGAAAAAAAATATGTATTAAAGGAAAATATAATGTGTGTTTTGTAAATATTATGGTGGTTTCGTATCAAACTTAATGATTTCCAAAGCGCACGAATTTCTACACAATTCCTTATAGCATTTTATAGCCGATGGCGATAAAGTGTAAAGCCCGGCGATAGGAGCTATAGCTCGGCTGTATACTTTTTTTATCGCTTCATATAGCCCGGCTATATGATTTGCTTCGCTTTCTACAGCCAGCTATACGATTTTCTATTGCCTTCTTTAGCCGGCTATAAGAATTCCTATGGTATTTTGAAACGCAGCTCCTATCGCCAATTTTTACCATGGACATTACGTTAAAAACTTAGGGTGACATAAAGTTATGTAATACTTTAAGATATTTACGTGAAACTTGAAATTTTACAATTTTTATGAGGAATAAAGCCGAAGATTATCAGAGAAGTTAGACGTTTGGGAGAAAAATTTATAGTTAGAAAATTCAGGAAAATTTGTGACTTAAATTTTTTCACGAGTTTCCGAATCAAATAGATGAACGAGGAAAGAATTATCTAGCAAATTTTCAAAATAAGGAACAGGATTCATGCGCGAGATTTTGCTCGGGCATTTTCTTGCGAGGGTAAGAGAGAATATATATTAGCATAGATGGGAAATCTTATTTAAATTAAATCATGTCGTTGTCTCTTTTTGAAAAAAAAGAAGTCATAAAACTAAAAATCCGTACCCGGATCGAAGAACGCTCCGATCCCCGCGGATTTTCAAAATTTCCAATATTTTATTTTCCAGATAGAGAGCGTACCTATGAAAACTTAAGTATTTGCTTAAGATATTCATAAGAGTATATTTTCACAAAGACAGTGAAAAGTACGTGAGTTTCCCAAAAATGAATTCGAGTAGTTTTCCGCTTAAAAATATAGGCACAGTATGACAGGAACTCTGCAGCGCGGTGAACCGGAAGTCATGTTTTCTTTTTGTTAGACACAAATTTAGACACAAAGCCAGGAGAATAAATGGACCACATTTTGCAATTAGGAACTATAAATTTTTGCTCTTCTGGAAAAACACTTATGTGCATAGGGAAACTAATGGCAAATAAACCGGGCTTGAATTTATTTTAAAATTGCTAAATATAAAATGGATGAGGCATGTCGCATTCTTGCCTTGGGTGGTAGACGTCAAAAACTGCAATGCTCGCATCACCCTAAAACTAGGTAAAATAACAAACCAATAAATGTATTTAAAAATCCTCTTTTCCGGACAGAATTATTGTGAACGAGCAAGTGATCACATAAAATAAAAAATGTATGAAATGACTTTACTAAGTGCTGAGATTTTGTCACTCAAACGAATCAAAGCGTTCTCCTTGAATTATAAGATGACAGTATTTGTATAGAATGGGACCTTAATAAGTAACCTTTTTCTTTGTTTCAACTCAGTATGAGCTGGAATTACCGATTGAAGTGAAGGTCGGACTCATCGAGAAAGTGTCCGTCAATATACCGTGGACTGGGTTCCAGACGAGTTCAATTAAAGTACTAATAGAGGTAAGTAATAGTTTACCGCAAAATTGAACTTTTTTAGCTTTTCTTTCCTTTGAACAATTTGGCTCATTGATTACCCAAAATTGCACCCCTAGCCAGAAGGCTAGAGCAGTATCAAGAATCGTCAGGCCGGCCAGGTTGGCCTAGTGGTCAGTGCGTCTGACTCTAGGTCAATAGGTCCCGGGTTCGAATCCCGGTGGAGGCGTCTAATTTTCACGGAATTGACGCGTAGATCTGCTGTAACAGATTCTCTTCGGCCCTTATCCCTGAAAATTGGAAAAGCCTGGAGCATGGAGATCCCATGGTGTCTACAGACACTAAACATTGTCTAAAGTTAGCTGAAGCTGCTAGACACGAAGCCATTAAACCAGCAGAAAAAAAAGGAAAGAAGTATCGTCATAGTATTAACTGTCGGTATTTTTTAATTTGTACTATATTATTTCATAAGCAGTCAAACTCCTTCCTGCGCGATTGATTTCTTAAACAATTTTATTTATGGTGAATTCATTATATTTTTTTGTCGTTTTTTGTTTCATCGACATCTGTTGGTTTTACATTTCGACGGCGTCGGTCCGCAATCACATACATCGTTTGCGGTGTCTGAAAATTTCCGCCTCTATGTTATTTTTTTTAAAGAATTACAAATTGACATCATTCCTTGAAGTTTAAGCAGAATTTTCTTCGCACAGAGAAGAAAAATCACGGCAGGAGGGCACCTATTTCAAATGTTGAATCCCTTCTGAAAAACTGTTTAATGAAATTTCATTTCGTTCATGCACAGGGTGTTTACATAATCGTCGGACCTGTGACGGACAGACCTTACGACTCTGAAAAGGATAAAAGGTTACTACGAGCCTTTAAAAGAAGGAAGATAGAACTCCTTGAGGATGAAAATCTACTTGGAACAGGTACGAAATTATAGCACTGTTCAGCTTACGGCTGGAAGGCCATCAAGGCCGGCCAAGGAAGGCAAATTTTAGAGGGTGGCAAAAAATGTGGGAAGAGAAAAAAAATGATGGGGCGCGCAGTGGATCGAGCCAATGGGGGAGGACGGACAAAATTTGGAAACTTTAGAAGCGCATAACTCCCTTCATGCAGAACTTTGAGGTTTTAAAATAGGTACCATCGGTTTCCTGGTGAAATTTGCCTCTGGGAGCACTTCTTAAAATTAAAAATTTAACGAATTTAACATCAAAATTTGCAATTTTAGTTAAAAATTGCATGCCCGACTTCTCTTATTGACTCGATCCATTGTGCGACGCGGAAACGTGACGATTCAGTCCAGAGGAATGAAGTGCAAGATGAAACTAATGGAGACTGAAAGATAGTTGATGAAGAAGTCTGAAAATCCGCATACAAAAATCAAAAATTTGTTGGGTACGTAATTTACACACGGCATGATACCAACCCCCCTCCCACGGCGACAATTCGTGGGACGACAAAATTTTGACGAACTAGGGGTAGAAATTAAGTAAATTCGGCCAAGCTCCAGAGTTCGAATAGTTGCACGCCTGGTTTCCGCATTCACCGATGCATACGTGATGCAGCGTGATGCATACATTCATAAACGTCAGTACATCGAGACAGGTTGAAAGCTAGAATTTTCCTTCATTCTCGTATGATACTACATTTCGTACCTACTCCGGAGTCCGAGTAGTAGAGTATCAATATAGGGAGAGTATGGATGGACATGTCGAAAATTATGAGGTTAAGTGATGCAGACCCCAAAAAGGTAGGCAATCTTTGAATTCAAATTATCCAGAGTGATTTATAATCACAATTGTTGGGAACTGTCGTTGGTATAATGCACGTATTTGACTTGGTTTTTGCATAATTTTTTTCATTTTTGCGGAGGAATGCTAACTTATGAATTTTCTTGTCTATTTTCGTTTGACATTGGAGTCTAAAGATTGACAGTGAAATTTTCCGTTTTCAAAGGTTACCTACCCTTTTGGGCCCTAAGAGCTAGATATTTCGAGTTGTCCATACTAGTACCGAATAGTTGCGCGCTTGATTTTCGTATTTAACGATGCGAGCATACAGTATAATGCCTATTTTCATAAACATCAATAATTTGAGACAGGTTGAAAGTTAGAATGTTCCTTCATTCTCTCATGATACCACATCTCGTACCTACTCCGGAGTCCGAATAGTTGTACGCTTGATTTCCGCATCTAACGATGAGAGCACATTGCCTATAAATTCATGGAATGGCAGTAATTTTAGACTGGTGAAAGGCTAATATCATCCTACTTTTTCACGTGATACCACATCACAGATCCACTATAAGTTCGAATAGGTGCGCGCTTGATTTACGCATTCAACGATGCAAGCATGTAATGTCTACGTTCAAAAAGTCCGTAATTTGAGACAGGCGAAGACCTAAGATTCTCCTTCATTTTCACGTGATACCACATCACATGCCTACTACGGAGCATGGCTGAATCTATAACATGGACTGCATTTTGCAAAAAGGAGAGAAGAGCATTCCACTGTTTCTAAGATTGCGCAACTTTTTTTACCTTGCAAGTATAAACTGATAATCTAAATAATTTTTATCTGTCCTCCCGATAAACTATAAATTCAAGGTGAAAATTGCCTATGTAAATTTAATTTTTCGCGAGATTTCAGTAATTTTATTGCTAATTATGTAAGTTGCTAAATCCTAGCAACATTGGTATGCTCTCATTCCTTTTTGCAAAATGCAATCCACATGCGCCGTCGAGGCCGCGGCATTTTTTTTTTTTGGGAGGGGGGAGGGGGGGCTCAAAAAGTGCAAAAAGAAAGAAACGAAGATAGGGCACTGTCGCGAACACCGGAAACGTGGCAATTCAATCAGTAAGAAGAATCAGGAGCAATTAGATGATTGCCAGTATAGACCGCAAAATATTTGATGAAAGAGCCCGAAAATTTGCATTAAAAATGTGTTGGGTCAAAGTAACTGCGGCATGACCAAACCCCCCCCCCCCCCCCCCCNGGGGTTACAATTCGTGAAGGGCGGTAATTTCGTAGATCCGGCCATAGCCTCAACTTGATAATCATTTAATTTTTTTTTTTACTTAAATATCGCGATTAATAGTTTCATTTGTGACTCACGTGACTCTGCAGCCTCCTGATTCGTTTCAAATAGTGGCGGAAAATGTTGCGATGTTTCCAATTTCCGACACTCGCCATTGATTATGTAGTTAAATCGGAGGATAGAGAGGGATAGCCAGTAGATCGTTTGGGCTAGCTTCATCATTCCCCACGCGTTTTTTAACTTTTGAAATGCTCCTTCATTTTTTTGGTTTAAGTTTTTCAGACGAAATAACGTAACCTAATTCTAAGGTTGCCAAATTGGCTGAGGCTATTCAATATTTTACAGGAATGTGACTTAAATTTCTTATTAAAGTTCCAGTAATTTTTGCGCGCAATCGGAGGAAAACGGTGTAATTTGCAGGTATGCGAATGCCTATCGGCGGGCTGATTATAGAAATTGATGGACAGAGGAAAAATTAAGCAGTCCTATTGGTTGAAACAGGTGGGTTTTTTAGACGAAGGGGAAAATTATAGACTAACCGTGGGGTCTCTCGGGGGTTGCAGTCAATGAGTCTATTACTTACTTACTCTGTCGACTGCAACCACCTACCTCTACGAATTCGCTCCATTCTCCCTTTTTGTTTTTTTTTTCCTATCAATTTCAAAAATCAGCACGCAATTTTCTGATGCAAATACAATCGATGTTGTAACGTCCTCCCATCCGAGGAACGACGTATTTTGCCAAAATTTTAAAGCAAAATCACTCATTAATAACATCATTTCTAATATTTTTTCAGACGCACCGGAAACCAAAAATTTCCTCGAGAATCTGATAACAACCATAATGAACAATCTGCAGATATCAATTCACAACGTGCACGTCAGATATGAGGACTCTGGCTCAAGTATCGAATATCCGTTAGCTGTGGGAATATGCCTGCAAAGTTTTTCAATACAAACCACCAACAGGTAGGCTTGTCATCCTATGAATTCTTTGCTCTTGACGTAAAAGAGAATGAAAGGACTTGAATTTTAAATGCTCCTTATTGACCAGATCAATCAATGAGGCTTCCAAGTTTGAAGTGGGGGTTTATTCAGAGGAGAAATTCAAATTTAAATATTAGAGCCGAACACAGAGCGGAGCGGCGGGCGAGATGCCCAGCGCGGCGCCTACAAACCTAACGGGATACTTCACGCATTGCGTAATGTGTGAAGTATCCCTGTTAGGTTTGTAGGCGCCTGTGTGCTAGCCGCGCTGGGCATCTCGCCCGCCGCACGGTGGGTCGAGTCAATAGGAGAGGTCGGACAAATTTCAGAAACTTTAAACGCTTATAACTGCGTTTATTCCAAATTTTGAAATTCTAAATGTGGCTCCATTGGTTTCCTCGTGAATTTTTCTTCTAGAGGCATCTAATAAAGTTTAAAATTTGGCAAAATAAACATCAAAATTTGCGGTTTAGGTCAAAAATTTGATGTCCGACTTTTCTAATTGACTCGATCCACTGTGCGCCGCGGCGCGGCTCGCGCGGCCTCTCCTGACACGGCTTCTGGACGGGCTCCGAAGTGTGTATAATTTAGACTTTTTTAAACCCTTTTTTCGTGTTTTTTCCGAGTTTTTCTTTCTTAAAACAACCCAAACCCTTTTTAAATTCATTTTCTTTAGAAATGGTTTTTATTTTTTTTTCAGTAAGTGGAAACCAACTGTTCCCGATTCGCAGTCCTCGGCCGTGTATCAGCTAATTAGGATAGAATCATTCTCAGTCTATTGTAATCCGACTTGCTCCAAACTAGTGTCTCAGACGGAGGATCTGGAGAACTTGCCGTTTCACGTCTGGTGCAATAGTTTGAGACAAGGGCTCGAAAGTTTCAGCGTCGAGGATGAAAAGTTGGATCTCAGTAAGTTTCAGCGTTAATTTTGATTCCTCCTCGGCATGTTCCTCTCTCCTGTTCAGTTGTTTTTCAAGCTCTGAGTAAGGACTAAGACTGAAAACTTAGAATCCCTCCTTGTGGAGACTTGTATATCGACGGTGAAACTACCAAACCACGTATATCTCGGTTTGCGACGTCGCAGACTTCCTGTCATACTTTCTTTTTTAATTGAAAAACTACTTAACGTCCAGTCTTGAAAATTTCTGTGATTTTTCCTCTTTGTGCGGAGAAAATTCTGTGAAAATTTCAAGGAATGATATTGATTTGGTCTACTTCAAAAAAATAAAATGCTAGCGTAGATTTTTAAACACCGCAAACGAGATACGTGGTTTGGTAGTTTCACCGTTGATATGGAGTTAATCTCATTATTCGTCACCTTCCGGCCAAAGTATCACAAGCGCCACGCAACGTTTAAAAAGTTCCGCCGCCATTTTATTTTTTTGCAGAGAAATTTTTCAACGAAGCTGTCCGAAAATTTCGCTGAATTTTCTTTGTGGTGGCGATTCAATTCAGTGAAATTGTCGAACAGATTCAACCGACAATCTCTCTGTAAAAAAGTAAAATGGCGGCGAAAATTGTTAAATGTCGCATGGTGCTTGGGATACTTCGGCCAGAAGGTGACGCTAATTCGAGGATATCCTTAGAGAATCAGCATAGAGTAAAACATAGAGTCGTGACGTAAATGGGAGAGCTGGCGCCACTTTTAAGCATTTTCCAGGTCCCGAATTCCGAGACTCCTGTGTCACGCCGGGTCACTTTTTCGATAAATAATCGATTGTTTTCGATAGACGGGGACTCTGCCATATGATGAAAACAAAGAGGATAGGAATCACTACCTACGTATTTTACATCGCCATTTTGAACCGAAAATGTGTCGAAAAATCGACCGAAGCTCAGCGCACACTGGGCTCGGAAATCGTCTAGAACATGGCGCCAGCCCTCCCATTTACATTACGACTTTATGTACTTGATCATATCATTGGAAAGTAGTTTTACAATATTAAAATAAAATACATTTTATGATGATATTTTGTCATGGTTTTCCAATATTCTCAGCACATTCTTACAAAGAGTAAGTATCCTGTTTGCTTTTCTATCTCTGCATTGAAGTCTCTTCACCGTTGAACGGGGCTACGTAATCGACCGTTAGAAGGCGCTCTAGGAACTGTACTTGTTACAGAAGACTACTTACTTACAGAAGTCTTAGAAAATAAAAATTGAAGAAAAGTGGCAAAATAGGTGTACAAGAAGTCAGTCGATGGATTCTGGCAAGTCTTTGGCGAAGAATTTGTAAAAGCGTGGGGAAACTCGTCAAAAATTAAAAGTGCCCGCAATGCCGTATATGCTCGTAAAAAATATGAAAAGAGAGTAATACAATCATTGTAAACAAAAAATATTAATACAGGTTCTCTGCAATTTTATAAATTTAAAGAAGAAGAGAGTGGATTCTATTACAGGTTTGGATTGCATGAAATATGTCATTTCCTTATTTTGATCTTGCTTTTCAGTAATCAAACCCATCTCCGGCAAGATTAAACTCATCGTAAATAAATCAAAGGAGGGCATGGTTCCAAAATTGCTTGTCGATTTCGTTATTCAAGATGCTGCGATCCAATGCTCAAAGTTCCAGTATGTTTCCATTTTAGAGATGATGGAATCTTTTCATAGGATCAATATCAACAGGTATGTTGAGTTTTTCTTTCAGATAGGTTTGTTCAAAAAATGGAAAGGACTTAGGAAACCTTTGAAAGAGGGGGAATTGAGTGTTGGGACCTTGAAAAAAGTGCCAAGAGGGTGAGATTGTTTCCTCCTCAGTTATCGTATGAAAAACGGATTAAAATTGACTTATAATTTTACTAAAACTTACCCGAATGTACATTTCTCCTTAAGATTTTCGGTGATAATCTCGAATAAACGAGAAGATGTTCCTAGAAAATTTAAAGAGAGACCATTGATTAGATCTCTTGCAAGAAAATAAAACAAGGAGCGGAGATTTCAAACGTGGCAATCATAGAAACGCATATTTCGACTTTATAGCCATTGATATCTTGAAATCAATAACTTCTAAGTGACTATTTGTTACGCCATTGAGAAGTCGCGTTTTCAAGAGAGGTTTTGGTAAAAGATCATCTTTCACGAAGGGAAGATGCACCATTTAGCTGGGATTTGAATTAAAGCGCCCTTGCTTCAGACAGCATTGGTGTGATTCAAAAACCTCTTCATATTTTTAATATTCATGTTTTCCTATTCCAGAAAATACAGAATTTTTCATCCTTATGTGCCTGTTAGTAAGAACACTAAACAATGGTGGAATTATGCCTTCAAATCTGTGGCAGAAGCTCAGATCAGACCGTACACGTGGCATCATATCAAACAGCATAGGTAAAGTGACCCGTATGTGTTTAAGGGTACTTTTTGCAGGTGTGAATTGCATATTCACCATATATTATGGGTCTCTCACTGTTGCTCGAGAGAGAATACAGTTGAGCTAGAAGTTGAGACGACCAAAAGTCACTATTCAATAACAGTGGGTGGTACTGATTGAAATAAGAAGAGGAGAAACTCGATGTATCTCGATTAAGTCGCCACAAGTAAAGCTACGATTGGCTGTCAACCGAAATTTATAGTGACTAATCGAATGTGCGATATTAGTGGAAAAAACAAACATTTTTTATATAAAAATGACCATGAATTTTTCTTGGTCTTTTTCATATCTTACTCCCTAATGTTAAATAATAAGAATACCCGACGCATCACGTCTGAGGCGCAAAGCGCCTCGGGGAGTTCGACTGCAAAGCAGTCAGGGGGCGTAATTATCTAGCATTGAAAATATTCACAGAAATTTAAAATGAAATATTTTTGCTCGCCCCCTTTTAAAAAATGAAACGCACCTAAGTAATTCAGCGATTTTTAAATGTTGCAACGTTACAGCGCGGCGTTACGCATTTCCAGACTGCAGATAACCCTTTTACTTAACCCCTTCCACCATCAAACATGAATGCTCAATCCATAATTCTGAGAAATCTTGATTTTCAGGCTCAACTATCGTAACTATAGGGATGTTTACAAAAAGACGCTATTGGAACCCACTAATTCTGAGCTTAAACTAGATTTACAAATTTTAGAGGACACACTCTCCATCACTGACATCATCATTGCCAGAGAGCACGCCAAAATACTCGTGAGTATGATCGAGAGTATTCAATATATCTGACATTATAATTTATTGGGAGTAAAGATAAAACTTACTTAGGCGATCAGTTTTATTCGCAAGGTGGAAACAGTCACACAATCTTGGTGACATGGAATGCTCGTGGTTCCTTTTTGCAAAATTCAGTCCATATAATGATCTTGCATAGAAAGCCAACATTTATTCCTTTCCTTTTGAAATTAATTTTCTTATTTGATTTTCAGGCATGGGTTTAATGGGGAGCGAGAGAGTGAAAGGGCAGAAAATGAATTTTTTTCCTTGTCGCAGTCAAATATTTCTACGGCTTCATGGTTTCAAAATTTTTGGAATTATAGCTTAACTCAAAAATTGCATTTATGTCTAGATTTTAAATAACACCTCAAGACAAGATAACATCGGGAGTATAATAATCAAGATTCGCACGCTTTTCACCCAGCCGCAAAATTGAATTTCGCGGCAAATTTTTGAATTTTTTAGCGGCCAAGGAACTGATTGGTCCATGAAAGTGTTAGCGGGAACTTTAGGCGGGAAAACGATCTGAATATTTAGAGACTTTAAGGTTATGTTTATGTTAACAAGTCAGATTTCATTAATTCTTGACGAACTCGGATTACGCTTACTTACAGTTGTCTAAAGTTATAATCTCAGTCATTAAACTTCATATTCAAGTGTTTCCGTGATGTTTTCAAACACATTTCGACTTATTCATTCCTTATGGAGTTTTATAATGTCAATGAAAAGGTTATTGGATTGGACCTGACCACAATGAGGATGACTTCATGTGATTCCCAACAATACCAGAGGGTACTATGATTACTCTTATATGGATTGAAGTATGTATGTCTCTTTTAAACGGTACAGATTTACAACTAGCATCTATATATAAGGATCATTTGCACGATAATGCGGTAGCCTAAATCGTCCTCTTACCGAAAATTCTGCCAGTTAACAGAAAACTTTCCTAGAGAACAAACGCTAAGAAACAACTAGTGGTCAGTTATTCCACGTACTTCTAAATTTTTTGACGGGAGTCTAACTATGACTCATTACCTCTAAATTCTGTTGCAAATCCTCCAAAGCCAATAAATATTAAGTTGCCACAGACAAATGGATTTGAGAGTGTTATTTTTACCTGTCTGTTGCTGAAGGCTACTATACCTAATCATGTTGGATGTTTCTTTTGCGAGTGTGTTTTTCAAGAGGTATAAAGGGCCTCCAATATCACGGCACCTCATAAAAATAGACTCATTCTACCACTACTAATTGTTTACCTTTTCTTTTTGCTCACAGCTCAGAAAAGAATTCCCAGAAAGAGTCGCAGTGTTAGAGAAAGGGAAAAAAAGCTGGCTCACGCACGATACAAAAACATTCTCTGAATTGGTTGTGCTTTCTGAGAAAGGGAGAGGACTATGGAGTCAGCTCTCAACGGTGGAGAAAACAACCCTTTTTGATGCCATAGGTTATTCTGAGAAAGCTACGGTTGATACAATTGAGTCGGAGAAATATGTAGGTAGGTATCAGCGTGTTTTCTAAATTATGGCATGCTTTTGAAAAGTGGTAGGCAAAAGGTTGTGTCAGTGACTGTCTATAGGTGTCATTGAAGGGTTGAAACACAAATACATTGTTTAATTTAAACGATCTAGACCTGCCTGAATTCAATCAACTATACCATATGACTCTAATAAAGTAATAAATTGAGCTGCTCTCTCAACTCGGCCTGCCACTTGCCACTTTTTGCCGCATGGCCCCTGGGACTGAAACAATTTGGAGAAAAGCCCAATAAGTTTAATAAATTTATGCAACCCAATTATACATTCCTAAGTTTTTCTTTTCTTTTAGTTTCCTTCTGGTTTAAGTATCATGAGCAATTCAAGCCATGCAATTACATGTGTGATGATTGAACAGAATAATGGTGTTCTGGTGGTGGTCTTTTTTAGTGATCTGACAAAATTTTTAAACTTCAGGGGAAAATTGTAGGAGCTCAAATTTTGTGGTAACTTCTTTCCTTCTTAGCCTGCGGCAAGATCTAAAGCTGAACATTGACGGTGTAAGTTGGCAATCACATAACTCGGTTTGCAATGTCGCAGACTTCCTGCCATACATTATTTTTTAAACGGAAAACTACTCAACGGCAATTCTTTGAAACTGCCGTGATTTTTCTTCTCTGTGCAAGGAAAATTCTGCAAAAACTTCAAGGAATGGTGTCAATTTGTTTTCCTTTAAAAAAATATCTTAGAGGCGGAGATTTTCAGACATCACAACGAGACATGTGATTGTGGATTTACGCTGTCGATATGTTCATTCGTCATCACTCACCATTCTCATTAGTTTTTTCTAATTCTTTCTAAATCAATAGTTTTTTGCAGTACCTAATCCAATCTTTTTTGTTTTTTTGCAGAGCATAAATTCAATTTTACCATTGCAAACTTCAGTGTTAGTTTGATCAATCGAGGGAATGAAATCCTTGTCCTCACACTAACACATTTTCTTGTAAGCTTGGAAGTTAGACCTGCTGTGAATGCTTTTAAACTTTCTACTAGAACTGACAACTTAATGGTAGAAGGTGTATCCATAGAAAAGGACTTAGTCCCTGTTGTAACATCAGAAAACCTCTTCTCAGGTGAACATCCATTTTATAAGTATTTTGTTTCTTGTTTTAGGAGATTGAGCAATGGCTCTATAATTGCTCTTGAACGAAGCCCCCCCC